ATATTGGTGAGTATATTGGTGAGTGTTGGTAAGTATATTGGTGAGTATATTGGTGAGTATATTGGTGAGTATATTGGTGAGTGATGGTGAGTGTGTTGGTGAGTATTGGTGAGTGTATTGGTGAGTATTGGTGAGTATTGGTGAGTGTTGGTGAGTGTTGGTGAGTGATGGTGAGTGTATTGGTGAGTGATGGTGAGTATTGGTGAGTATTGGTGAGTATTGGTGAGTGATGGTGAGTATTGGTGAGTGATGGTGAGTGTTGGTGAGTATATTGGTGAGTGTATTGGTGAGTATTGGTGAGTGTATTGGTGAGTGTTGGTGAGTGTATCGGTGAGTGTTGGTGAGTGTGTTGGTGAGTATTGGTGAGTGATGGTGAGTATTGGTGAGTGTTGGTGAGTGTGTTGGTGAGTGTGTTGGTGAGTGTGTTGGTGAGTGAGTTGGTGAGTGTGTTGGTGAGTGTTGGTGAGTGATGGTGAGTATTGGTGAGTGATGGTGAGTGTATTGGTGAGTGTGTTGGTGAGTGTTGGTGAGTGATGGTGAGTATTGGTGAGTGATGGTGAGTGTATTGGTGAGTGTGATGGTGAGTGTTGGTGAGTGTTGGTGAGTATATTGGTGAGTATATTGGTGAGTGTTGGTGAGTGTTGGTGAGTATATTGGTGAGTATGTTGGTGAGTGTTGGTGAGTATATTGGTGAGTGTGTTGGTGAGTATATTGGTGAGTGTTTTGGTGAGTATATTGGTGAGTATATTGGTGAGTATATTGGTGAGTGTTGGTGAGTATACTGGTGAGTATATTGGTGAGTGTTGGTGAGTATATTGGTGAGTATATTGGTGAGTGTTGGTAAGTATATTGGTGAGTATATTGGTGAGTGTTGGTGAGTATATTGGTGAGTATATTGGTGAGTATATTGGTGAGTATATTGGTGAGTGATGGTGAGTGTGTTGGTGAGTATTGGTGAGTGTTGGTGAGTGTATTGGTGAGTATTGGTGAGTATTGGTGAGTGTTGGTGAGTGTTGGTGAGTGATGGTGAGTGTATTGGTGAGTGATGGTGAGTGTATTGGTGAGTATTGGTGAGTATTGGTGAGTATTGGTGAGTGATGGTGAGTATTGGTGAGTATATTGGTGAGTGTATTGGTGAGTATTGGTGAGTGTATTGGTGAGTGTTGGTGAGTGTATCGGTGAGTGTTGGTGAGTGTGTTGGTGAGTATTGGTGAGTGATGGTGAGTATTGGTGAGTGTTGGTGAGTGTGTTGGTGAGTGTGTTGGTGAGTGTGTTGGTGAGTGAGTTGGTGAGTGTGTTGGTGAGTGTTGGTGAGTGATGGTGAGTATTGGTGAGTGATGGTGAATGTATTGGTGAGTGTGTTGGTGAGTGTTGGTGAGTGATGGTGAGGATTGGTGAGTGATGGTGAGTGTATTGGTGAGTGTGATGGTGAGTGTTGGTGAGTGTTGGTGAGTATATTGGTGAGTATATTGGTGAGTGTTGGTGAGTGTTGGTGAGTATATTGGTGAGTATGTTGGTGAGTGTTGGTGAGTATATTGGTGAGTGTGTTGGTGAGTATATTGGTGAGTATATTGGTGAGTATATTGGTGAGTATATTGGTGAGTATATTGGTGAGTGTTGGTGAGTATACTGGTGAGTATATTGGTGAGTGTTGGTGAGTATATTGGTGAGTATTGGTGAGTATTGGTGAGTGTTGGTGAGTGATGGTGAGTGTATTGGTGAGTGATGGTGAGTGTATTGGTGAGTATTGGTGAGTATTGGTGAGTGATGGTGAGTATTGGTGAGTGATGGTGAGTGTATTGGTGAGTGATGGTGAGTGTATTGGTGAGTATTGGTGAGTATTGGTGAGTGATGGTGAGTATTGGTGAGTGATGGTGAGTGTTGGTGAGTATATTGGTGAGTGTATTGGTGAGTATTGGTGAGTGTATTGGTGAGTGTTGGTGAGTGTATCGGTGAGTGTTGGTGAGTGATGGTGAGTGTATCGGTGAGTGTTGGTGAGTATATTGGTGAGTGTATTGGTGAGTATATTGGTGAGTATTGGTGAGTATATTGGTGAGTGTTGGTGAGTATATTGGTGAGTATATTGGTGAGTATATTGGTGAGTATATTGGTGAGTGATGGTGAGTGTGTTGGTGAGTATTGGTGAGTGTTGGTGAGTGTATTGGTGAGTATTGGTGAGTATTGGTGAGTGTTGGTGAGTGATGGTGAGTGTATTGGTGAGTGATGGTGAGTGTATTGGTGAGTATTGGTGAGTATTGGTGAGTATATTGGTGAGTGTATTGGTGAGTATTGGTGAGTGTATTGGTGAGTGTTGGTGAGTGTATCGGTGAGTGTTGGTGAGTGTGTTGGTGAGTATTGGTGAGTGATGGTGAGTATTGGTGAGTGTTGGTGAGTGTGTTGGTGAGTGTGTTGGTGAGTGTGTTGGTGAGTGAGTTGGTGAGTGTGTTGGTGAGTGTTGGTGAGTGATGGTGAGTATTGGTGAGTGATGGTGAGTGTATTGGTGAGTGTGTTGGTGAGTGTTGGTGAGTGATAGTGAGTATTGGTGAGTGATGGTGAGTGTATTGGTGAGTGTGATGGTGAGTGTTGGTGAGTGTTGGTGAGTATATTGGTGAGTATATTGGTGAGTGTTGGTGAGTGTTGGTGAGTATATTGGTGAGTATGTTGGTGAGTGTTGGTGAGTATATTGGTGAGTGTGTTGGTGAGTATATTGGTGAGTGTTTTGGTGAGTATATTGGTGAGTATATTGGTGAGTATATTGGTGAGTGTTGGTGAGTATATTGGTGAGTATATTGGTGAGTGTTGGTGAGTATACTGGTGAGTATATTGGTGAGTGTTGGTGAGTATATTGGTGAGTATATTGGTGAGTGTTGGTAAGTATATTGGTGAGTATATTGGTGAGTGTTGGTGAGTATATTGGTGAGTATATTGGTGAGTATATTGGTGAGTGATGGTGAGTGTGTTGGTGAGTATTGGTGAGTGTTGGTGAGTGTATTGGTGAGTATTGGTGAGTATTGGTGAGTGTTGGTGAGTGTTGGTGAGTGATGGTGAGTGTATTGGTGAGTGATGGTGAGTGTATTGGTGAGTATTGGTGAGTATTGGTGAGTATTGGTGAGTGATGGTGAGTGTTGGTGAGTATATTGGTGAGTGTATTGGTGAGTATTGGTGAGTGTTGGTGAGTGTTGGTGAGTATATTGGTGAGTATGTTGGTGAGTGTTGGTGAGTATATTGGTGAGTGTGTTGGTGAGTATATTGGTGAGTGTTTTGGTGAGTATATTGGTGAGTATATTGGTGAGTATATTGGTGAGTGTTGGTGAGTATATTGGTGAGTATATTGGTGAGTGTTGGTGAGTATACTGGTGAGTATATTGGTGAGTGTTGGTGAGTATATTGGTGAGTATATTGGTGAGTATATTGGTGAGTGTTGGTAAGTATATTGGTGAGTATATTGGTGAGTGTTGGTGAGTATATTGGTGAGTATATTGGTGAGTATATTGGTGAGTGATGGTGAGTGTGTTGGTGAGTATTGGTGAGTGTTGGTGAGTGTATTGGTGAGTATTGGTGAGTGTTGGTGAGTGTTGGTGAGTGATGGTGAGTGTATTGGTGAGTGATGGTGAGTGTATTGGTGAGTATTGGTGAGTATTGGTGAGTATTGGTGAGTGATGGTGAGTGTTGGTGAGTATATTGGTGAGTGTATTGGTGAGTATTGGTGAGTGTATTGGTGAGTGTTGGTGAGTGTATCGGTGAGTGTTGGTGAGTGTGTTGGTGAGTATTGGTGAGTGATGGTGAGTATTGGTGAGTGTTGGTGAGTGTGTTGGTGAGTGTGTTGGTGAGTGTGTTGGTGAGTGAGTTGGTGAGTGTGTTGGTGAGTGTTGGTGAGTGATGGTGAGTATTGGTGAGTGATGGTGAGTGTATTGGTGAGTGTGTTGGTGAGTGTTGGTGAGTGATGGTGAGTATTGGTGAGTGATGGTGAGTGTATTGGTGAGTGTGATGGTGAGTGTTGGTGAGTGTTGGTGAGTATATTGGTGAGTATATTGGTGAGTGTTGGTGAGTGTTGGTGAGTATATTGGTGAGTATGTTGGTGAGTGTTGGTGAGTATATTGGTGAGTGTGTTGCTGAGTATATTGGTGAGTGTTTTGGTGAGTATATTGGTGAGTATATTGGTGAGTATATTGGTGAGTGTTGGTGAGTATATTGGTGAGTATATTGGTGAGTGTTGGTGAGTATACTGGTGAGTATATTGGTGAGTATATTGGTGAGTATATTGGTGAGTGATGGTGAGTGTGTTGGTGAGTATTGGTGAGTGTTGGTGAGTGTATTGGTGAGTATTGGTGAGTATTGGTGAGTGTTGGTGAGTGTTGGTGAGTGATGGTGAGTGTATTGGTGAGTGATGGTGAGTGTATTGGTGAGTGTTGGTGAGTGTATCGGTGAGTGTTGGTGAGTGATGGTGAGTGTATCGGTGAGTGTTGGTGAGTATATTGGTGAGTGTATTGGTGAGTATATTGGTGAGTATTGGTGAGTATATTGGTGAGTGTATTGGTGAGTGTTGGTGAGTGATGGTGAGTGTTGGTGAGTGTGTTGGTGAGTGATGGTGAGTATATTGGTGAGTATATTGGTGAGTGATGGTGAGTGTTGGTGAATGTGTTGGTGAGTGATGGTGAGTATGGGTGAGTGTATTGGTGAGTGTTGCTGAGTGATGGTGAGTATATTGGTGAGTATATTGGTGAGTGTTGGTGAGTATTGGTGAGTATATTGGTGAGTATTGGTGAGTATATTGGTGAGTGTTGGTGAGTGTATCGGTGAGTGTTGGTGAGTGATGGTGAGTGTATCGGTGAGTGTTGGTGAGTATATTGGTGAGTGTATTTGTGAGTATATTGGTGAGTATATTGGTGAGTGATGGTGAGTATATTGGTGAGTGTATTGGTTAGTGTTGGTGAGTGTATTGGTGAGTGATGGTGAGTATATTGGTGAGTGTATTGGTGAGTGTATTGGTGAGTGTTTACCTTGCTCATGGCTGTGAGTGCCGGGTCACAGGCTGAGTCCAAGTCCTGGACGAGAAGCTGAATACAATGTGAGATCACCCTGTAGATAAAGTTAGTTAGTGTGGTAGTTAGTGTGGTAGTTAGTGTTAGTTATTGTGGTAGTTAGTGTGGTAGTTAGTGTGGTAGTTAGTGTTAGTTAGTGTGTTAGTTAGTGTGGTAGTTAGTGTGGTAGTTAGTGTGGTAGTTAGTGTGGTAGTTAGTGTGGTGGTTAGTGTGGTAGTTAGTGTTAGTTAGTGTGGTAGTTAGTGTTAGTTAGTGTGGTAGTTAGTGTGGTAGTCATTGTGGTAGTTAGTGTGGTAGTTAGTGTGGTAGTTAGTGTGGTAGTTAGTGTGGTAGTTAGTTAGTGTGGTAGTTAGTGTTAGTTAGTGTTAGTTAGTGTTAGTTAGTGTGGTAGTTAGTGTTAGTTAGTGTGGTAGTTAGTGTGGTAGTTAGTGTTAGTTAGTGTGGTAGTTAGTGTTAGTTAGTGTGGTAGTTAGTGTTAGTTAGTGTTAGTTAGTGTTAGTTAGTGTGGTAGTTAGTGTGGTAGTTAGTGTTCGTTAGTGTGGTAGTTAGTGTGTTAGTTAGTGTGGTAGTTAGTGTGGTAGTTAGTGTTAGTTAGTGTGGTAGTTAGTGTGGTAGTTAGTGTGTTAGTGTGGTAGTTAGTGTTAGTTAGTGTGTTAGTTAGTGTTAGTTAGTGTGGTAGTTAGTGTTAGTTAGTGTGGTAGTTAGTGTTAGTTAGTGTGGTAGTTAGTGTGGTAGTTAGTGTGGTAGTTAGTGTGGTAGTTAGTGTGGTAGTTAGTGTTAGTTAGTGTGGTAGTTAGTGTTAGTTAGTGTGGTAGTTAGTGTGGTAGTTAGTGTTAGTTAGTGTGTTAGTTAGTGTTAGTTAGTGTGGTAGTTAGTGTGGTAGTTAGTGTTAGTTAGTGTGGTAGTTAGTGTGGTAGTTAGTGTTAGTTAGTGTTAGTTAGTGTGTTAGTTAGTTAGTGTGGTAGTTAGTGTTAGTTAGTGTTAGTTAGTGTTAGTTAGTGTGGTAGTTAGTGTGGTAGTTAGTGTGGTAGTTAGTGTGGTAGTTAATGTGGTAGTTAGTGTGTTAGTTAGTGTGGTAGTTAGTGTGGTAGTTAGTGTGGTAGTTAGTGTTAGTTAGTGTGGTAGTTAGTGTGGTAGTTAGTGTGGTAGTTAGTGTTAGTTAGTGTGGTAGTTAGTGTGGTAGTTAGTGTGGTAGTTAGTGTTAGTTAGTGTGGTAGTTAGCGTGGTAGTTAGTGTGGTAGTTAGTGGTAGTTAGTGTGGTAGTTAGTGTGGTAGTTAGTGTGGTAGTTAGTGTTAGTTAGTGTTAGTTAGTGTTAGTTAGTGTGGTAGTTAGTGTGGTAGTTAGTGTGGTAGTTAGTGTGGTAGTTAGTGTTAGTTAGTGTGGTAGTTAGTGTGGTAGTTAGTGTGGTAGTTAGTGTGGTAGTTAGTGTGGTAGTTAGTGTTAGTTAGTGTGGTAGTTAGTGGTAGTTAGTGTGGTAGTTAGTGTTAGTTAGTGTGGTAGTTAGTGTGGTAGTTAGTGTGGTAGTTAGTGTTAGTTAGTGTTAGTTAGTGTGGTAGTTAGTGTTAGTTAGTGTGGTAGTTAGTGTGGTAGTTAGTGTTAGTTAGTGTTAGTTAGTGTGGTAGTTAGTGTGGTAGTTAGTGTGGTAGTGAGAAGCTGAATACAATGTGAGATCACCCTGTAGATAGAGTTAGTGTTAGTTAGTGTGGTAGTTAGTGTTAGTTAGTGAGGTAGTTAGTGTGGTAGTTAGTGTGGTAGTTAGTGTTAGTTAGTGTGGTAGTTAGTGTTAGTTAGTGAGGTAGTTAGTGTGGTAGTTAGTGTGGTAGTTAGTGTTAGTTAGTGTGGTAGTTAGTGTGGTAGTTAGTGTTAGTTAGTGTGGTAGTTAGTGTTAGTTAGTGTGGTAGTTAGTGAGGTAGTTAGTGTTAGTTAGTGAGGTAGTTAGTGTTAGTTAGTGTTAGTTAGTGTGGTAGTTAGTGAGGTAGTTAGTGTGGTAGTGAGGTAGTTAGTGAGGTAGTTAGTGTGGTAGTTAGTGTTAGTTAGTGTGGTAGTTAGTGAGGTAGTTAGTGTGGTAGTTAGTGTTAGTTAGTGTGGTAGTTAGTGAGGTAGTTAGTGTGGTAGTGAGGTAGTTAGTGAGGTAGTTAGTTAGTGAGAAGCTGAATACAATGTGAGATCACCCTGTAGAGAGGTAGTTAGTGTGGTAGTTAGTGTGGTAGTTAGTGTGGTAGTTCGTGTTAGTTAGTGTGGTAGTTAGTGTGGTAGTTAGTGTGGTAGTTCGTGTTAGTTAGTGTTAGTTAGTGTGGTAGTTAGTGTGGTAGTTAGTGTGGTAGTTCGTGTTAGTTAGTGTTAGTTAGTGTGGTAGTTAGTGTTAGTTAGTGAGTTAGTGTGGTAGTTAGTGAGTTAGTTAGTGTGGTAGTTAGTGAGGTAGTGAGAAGCTGAATACGTGAGATCACCCTGTAGATAAAGTTAGTGTTAGTTAGTGAGGTAGTTAGTGTGGTAGTTAGTGTTAGTTAGTGTGGTAGTTAGTGTGGTAGTTAGTGTTAGTTAGTGAGGTAGTTAGTGTGTTAGTTAGTGTGGTAGTTAGTGTTAGTTAGTGTGTTAGTTAGTGTGGTAGTTAGTGTTAGTTAGTGTGGTAGTTAGTGTGGTAGTGTGTTAGTTAGTGAGGTAGTTAGTGTTAGTTAGTGTGGTAGTTAGTGTGGTAGTTAGTGTGGTAGTTAGTGTGTTAGTTCGTGTTAGTTAGTGTTAGTTAGTGTGGTAGTTAGTGTGGTAGTTAGTGTGGTAGTTAAGTGTGGTAGTTAGTGTGGTAGTTAGTGTGTTAGTTAGTGTGGTAGTTAGTGTGTTAGTTAGTGTGGTAGTTAGTGTTAGTTAGTGTGGTAGTTAGTGTGGTAGTTAGTGTTAGTTAGTGTGGTAGTTAGTGTTAGTTAGTGTGGTAGTTAGTGAGGTAGTTAGTGTTAGTTAGTGAGGTAGTTAGTGTTAGTTAGTGAGGTAGTTAGTGTGGTAGTTAGTGTTAGTTAGTGTGGTAGTTAGTGTTAGTTAGTGTGGTAGTTAGTGAGGTAGTTAGTGTTAGTTAGTGAGGTAGTTAGTGTGTTAGTTAGTGAGGTAGTTAGTGAGGTAGTTAGTGTGGTAGTTAGTGAGTTAGTGAGAAGCTGAATACAATGTGAGATCACCCTGTACATAGAGGTAGTTAGTGTTAGTGTGTTAGTTAGTGTGGTAGTTAGTGTGGTAGTTAGTAACTGAGTGACTGAGTGAGTGACTGAGTGAGTGACTGAGTGAGTGACTAAGTGACTGACTGAGTGAGTGACTGAGTGAGTGACTGAGTGACTGAGTGAGTGACTGAGTGACTGAGTGAGTGAGTGACTGAGTGAGTGACTGACTGAGTGAGTGACTGAGTGAGTGACTGAGTGAGTGACTGAGTGAGTGACTGAGTGACTGAGTGAATGACTGAGTGACTGAGTGAGTGACTGAGTGAGTGACTGAGTGACTGAGTAACTGAGTGAGTGACTGAGTGAGTGACTGAGTGACTGAGTGAGTGACTGAGTGACTGATTGAGTGAGTGACTGAGTGACTGAGTGACTGACTGAGTGAGTGACTGAGTGACTGAGTGAGTGACTGACTGAGTGACTGAGTGACTGACTGACTGACTGAGTGACTGAGTGAGTGAGTGACTGAGTGAGTGACTGAGTGAGTAACTGAGTGAGTAACTGAGTGACTGAGTGAGTGACTGAGTGAGTGACTGAGTGAGTGACTGAGTGACTGAGTGACTGAGTGAGTGACTGAGTGAGTGACTGAGTGAGTGACTGACTGAGTCAGTGAGTGACTGACTGAGTGAGTGAGTGACTGACTGAGTGACTGAGTGAGTGACTGAGTGACTGAGTGACTGACTGAGTGAGTGACTGAGTGAGTGACTGAGTGAGTGACTGAGTGACTGAGTGACTGAGTGAGTGACTGATTGAGTGAGTGACTGACTGAGTGACTGAGTGACTGACTGAGTGACTGAGTGACTGAGTGACTGAGTGAGAAACTGACTGAGTGACTGACTGAGTGACTGAGTGAGTGAGTGACTGAGTGAGTGACTGAGTGAGTGACTGAGTGACTGAGTGACTGAGTGACTGACTGAGTGACTGAGTGACTGACTGAGTGACTGAGTGACTGAGTGACTGACTGACTGAGTGACTGACTGACTGAGTGACTGAGTGAGTGACTGACTGAGTGACTGAGTGACTGACTGAGTGACTGAGTGACTGAGTGAGTGACTGAATGACTGACTGAGTGACTGAGTGACTGAGTGAGTGACTGACTGAGTGACTGACTGAGTGACTGAGTGACTGACTGAGTGACTGACTGAGTGACTGAGTGACTGAGTGACTGACTCACGCGCTGAAGGAGTGACTGAGTGACTGATTGACTGAGTGACTGAGTGACTGAGTGAGTGACTGAGTGACTGAGTGAGTGACTGACTGACTGACTGAGTGACTGACTGAGTGACTGAGTGACTGACTGACTGACTGACTGACTGACTGAGTGACTGAGTGACTGACTGAGTGACTGACTGAGTGACTGACTGAGTGACTGAGTGACTGAGTGACTGACTGAGTGACTGACTGAGTGACTGACTGACTGAGTGACTGACTGAGTGACTGAGTGACTGACTGAGTGACTGAGTGACTGACTGAGTGACTGGCTGACTGAGTGACTGAGTGACTGACTGAGTGACTGAGTGACTGAGTGACTGACTGAGTGACTGAGTGACTGACTGAGTGACTGACTGAGTGAGTCACTGAGTGACTGACTGACTGAGTCACTGAGTGACTGAGTGCCTGACTGAGTGACTGACTGAGTGACTGACTGAGTGACTGAGTGACTGACTGAGTGACTGAGTGAGTGACTGAGTGACTGAGTGGCTGAGTGAGTGACTGAGTGAGTGAGTGAGTGACTGAGTGGCTGAGTGAGTGACTGAGTGACTGACTGAGTGACTGACTAAGTGGCTGAGTGAGTGACTGAGTGAGTGACTGAGTGACTGACTGAGTGACTGACTGAGTGGCTGAGTGAGTGAGTGAGTGGCTGACTGACTGAGCGACTGAGTGAGTGACTGAGTGAGTGAGTGACTGACTGAGTGACTGACTGAGTGACTGAGTGACTGAGTGACTGAGTGACTGAGTGAGTGAGTGACTGACTGAGTGACTGACTGAGTGACTGACTGAGTGACTGAGTGACTGAGTGAGTGACTGAGTGAGTGACTGAGTGAGTGAGTGACTGAGTGACTGAGTGAGTGACTGACTGAGTGACTGACTGAGTGACTGACTGAGTGACTGAGTGAGTGACTGACTGAGTGACTGAGTGACTGAGTGAGTGACTGAGTGACTGAGTGACTGACTGAGTGACTGAGTGACTGAGTGACTGACTGAGTGACTGAGTGAGTGACTGAGTGAGTGAGTGAGTGGCTGAGTGAGTGACTGAGTGAGTGAGTGGCTGAGTGAGTGACTGAGTGACTGACTGAGTGACTGACTAAGTGGCTGAGTGAGTGACTGAGTGAGTGACTGAGTGACTGACTGAGTGACTGACTGAGTGGCTGAGTGAGTGAGTGAGTGGCTGACTGACTGAGCGACTGAGTGAGTGACTAGGTGAGTGAGTGACTGACTGAGTGACTGACTGAGTGACTGAGTGACTGAGTGAGTGAGTGAGTGACTGAGTGAGTGACTGAGTGAGTGACTGACTGAGTGACTGAGTGAGTGACTGAGTGACTGAGTGAGTGAGTGACTGAGTGAGTGACTGAGTGACTGAGTGAGTGAGTGACTGAGTGACTGAGTGAGTGACTGACTGAGTGACTGACTGAGTGACTGACTGAGTGACTGAATGAGTGACTGACTGAGTGACTGAGTGACTGAGTGACTGACTGAGTGACTGACTGAGTGACTGAGTGAGTGAGTGACTGACTGAGTGACTGAGTGAGTGAGTGACTGAGTGACTGAGTGAGTGACTGACTGAGTGACTGAGTGACTGAGTGAGTGACTGACTGAGTGACTGAGTGAGTGACTGAGTGACTGACTGAGTGACTGACTGAGTGACTGACTGAGTGACTGACTGAGTGACTGAGTGACTGAGTGAGTGAGTGACTGAGTGAGTGACTGAGTGAGTGACTGAGTGACTGAGTGAGTGACTGAGTGACTGACTGAGTGACTGACTGAGTGACTGACTGAGTGACTGAGTGAGTGACTGACTGAGTGACTGAGTGAGTGAGTGAGTGACTGACTGAGTGACTGACTGACTGAGTGACTGAGTGACTGAGTGAGTGACTGAGTGAGTAACTGAGTGACTGAGTGACTGAGTGACTGACGGAGTGACTGACTGAGTGAGTCACTGAGTGACTGAGTGAGTGACTGACTGAGTGACTGACTGAGTGAGTCACTGACTGAGTGACTGACTGACTGAGTGACTGACTGAGTGACTGACTGAGTGACTGAGTGAGTGACTGACTGAGTGACTGAGTGACTGAGTGAGTGAGTGACTGAGTGAGTGACTGAGTGAGTGACTGAGTGACTGAGTGACTGACTGAGTGACTGAGTGAGTGACTGACTGAGTGACTGAGTGAGTGAGTGACTGAGTGAGTGACTGAGTGACTGACTGAGTGACTGACTGACTGAGTGACTGAGTGACTGAGTGAGTGACTGAGTGAGTAACTGAGTGACTGAGTGACTGACTGAGTGACTGACTGAGTGAGTCACTGAGTGACTGAGTGAGTGACTGACTGAGTGACTGACTGAGTGAGTCACTGACTGAGTGACTGACTGACTGAGTGACTGACTGAGTGACTGAGTGACTGACTCACGCGCTGAAGGAGTCTGTCTCAGCCACGAGGTTAATTTTGTCCGCTAGGCTGGGCTCAACTTTCTCCTTCAGCTTTTCCTCCAACTGCAGCACACAGACACACAGACACACATATACATAGACACACACAGAGAAACACACACACACAGACACACACACAGACACACACACAGACACACACACACACAGAGACACACACACAGACACACACACACAGCTACACACACAGACACACACACAGACACACACACAGACACACACACACACAGACACACACAGACACACACAGACACACACAGAGACACACACAGACAGACAGACACACACAGCTACACACACACAGCTACACACACAGACACACACACACAGACACAGACACACACAGCTACACACACACAGCTACACACACACACACAGACACACACACACACACACAGACACACACACAGACACACACACAGACACACACAGACACACACACACACACAACTACACACAGCTACACACACACACACAGACACACACACAGACACACACACAGACACACACACAGGTACACACACACACAGACACACACACACACAGCTACACACACAGACACACACACACAGACACACACACAGACACACACACAGCTACACACACACAGACACACACACAGACACACACACACAGACACACACACAGACACACACACACACAGACACACACAGACACACACACACACACAGCTACACACACACAGACACACAAACAGACACACACACAGACACACACACAGACACACACAGGTACACACACACAGCTACACACACACAACTACACACACACACAGATACAGACAGATACATACATACAGATACATACACACACACATACACACAGACACACACAGACACACACACAGACACACACACACACACAACAACAACAACAACAACCGCCATTCGCCACTAAGTGGCGGTGACGTCACCACGACGCTTGTGCCAGGCTATGTGCACCCTGAGGCCACGTGAAGTGTCGAACGCCCGCTGGCAGGAGGTCACGGGGCAGACCCAGGTGCCACGGGTCAACTGACTACTATACACTACACTATACACTACACTATACACTACACTATACACTACACTATACACTACACTATACACTACACTACTATACACTACACTATACACTACACTACTATACACTACACTACTATACACTACACTATACACTACACTACACACGAGACTACACTACACTATACACTACACTATACACACTACACTACACTACACACTACACTACACACCACACTATACACTACACTATACACACTACACTACACACTATACACTACACACTATACACTACACTATACACACTACACTATACTATACACTACACTATACACTACACTACACTACTATACACTACACTATACACTACACTATACACTACACACTACACTACACACTACACTATACACTACACACTACACTACACTATACACTACACTACACTATACACTACACCATCACCTGCTGTGTGGTGGCAAGGCAATACTCAGCGGTGCTCAGCACGGTACAGATGAGGCCCAGCTCATCAGCAGTGAAACGTGTTGTGTCGTTACTACACTATACACTACACTACACACTACACTATACACTACACTATACACTACACTATACACTACACTATACACTACACCACACACTACACTACACACTACACTAAACACTACACTATACACTACACACTACACTATACACTACACACTATACTCTACACTATACACTACACTATACACTACACTATACTCTACACTATACACTACACTATACACTACACTACACACTACACTATACACTACACCATCACCTGCTGTGTGGTGGCAAGGCAATACTCTGCGGTGCTCAGCACGGTACAGATGAGGCCCAGCTCATCAGCAGTGAAACGTGTTGTGTCGTTACTACACTATACACTACACTATACACTACACTACACTATACACTACACTATACACTACACTATCACCTGCTGTGTGGTGGCAAGGCAATACTCTGCGGTGCTCAGCACGGTACAGATGAGGCCCAGCTCATCAGCAGTGAAACGTGTTGTGTCGTTACTACACTATACACTACACTATACACTACACTACACACTACACTACACTATACACTACACTATACACTACACCATCACCTGCTGTGTGGTGGCAAGGCAATACTCTGCGGTGCTCAGCACGGTACAGATGAGGCCCAGCTCATCAGCAGTGAAACGTGTTGTGTCGTTACTACACTATACACTACACTATACACTACACTACACTATACACTACACTATACACTACACTACACTATACACTACACTATACACTACACTATCACCTGCTGTGTGGTGGCAAGGCAATACTCTGCGGTGCTCAGCACGGTACAGATGAGGCCCAGCTCATCAGCAGTGAAACGTGTTGTGTCGTTACTACACTATACACTACACTATACACTACACACTACACTACACCATCACCTGCTGTGTGGTGGCAAGGCAATACTCGGCGGTGCTCAGCACGGTACAGATGAGGCCCAGCTCATCAGCAGTGAAACGTGTTGTGTCGTTACTACACTATACACTACACTATACACTACACACTACACCATCACCTGCTGTGTGGTGGCAAGGCAATACTCTGCGGTGCTCAGCACGGTACAGATGAGGCCCAGCTCATCAGCAGTGAAACGTGTTGTGTCGTTACTACACTATACACTACACTACACACTACACTATACACTACACTATACACTACACTATACACTACACTACACTATACACTACACTATACACTACACTATCACCTGCTGTGTGGTGGCAAGGCAATACTCGGCGGTGCTCAGCACGGTACAGATGAGGCCCAGCTCATCAGCAGTGAAACGTGTTGTGTCAGTCGCATCTCTGTCCTTGAGCAGGCTCGAGATGGTGAGACCCACACTGCCACTGGGAGTCCTACACACACACACACATACACACACACACATACACACACAGGTACATACACACACACACACAGATACATACACACACAGATATACACACACACACACACAGGTACATACACACACACAGATACACACACACACAGATACATACACACACACACAGGTACACACACATACACACACACAGATACATACACACACACAGGTACATACACACAGATACACATACATACACACACATACATACACACAGATATATACACACACACACACACAGGTACATATACACACACACACAGATACATACACACACACAGATACATACACACATACATACATACACACACACGTACATACACACACACACAGAGATACATACACATACACACACACAGAGATACATACACACACACACACAGGTACACACAGAGATACATACACACACACACAGGTACACACATACATACACACACATACACACACACACAGATACATACACACAGATACACACACACACAGATACACACACACACAGATACACACACACACACATACACACACACACACATACACACACAGGTACACACATACACACACAGGTACACACTTACATACACACACACATACAGGTACACACACACACACGTACACACACGTACAGGTTAAACACTCACACACACAGGTACACACACACATACACATACATACATACACACACGTACAGGTTAAACACTCACACACACAGGTACACACACACATACACACAGATACACACAGATACATACACAAAGATACATACACACACACAGGTTAAACACTCTCACACACACACATACACACACACAGATACACATACACAGATACATACACACACAGATGCACACACACACACAGGTACACACACACACAGGTACACACACACAGATACACACACACAGATACACACATACATACACACACATACAGATACACATACACACATACACACACATACAGATACAGATACACATACACACATACATACACACACACAGGTACACACACATCCATACCCACACAGGTACACACACACATACATACACACAGGTACAGGTTAAACACTCACTCACTCACTCACACACACACAGGTACACACACACACGTACACACACACACAGGTACACACACAGGTACACACACAGGTACACACATACACACACAAACATACACACACACACAGGTACACACACACATACACACACACACATACACACACACACACATGTACACACACACACAGGTACACACACACACACAGATACACACACATACATACACACAGGTACACACACATACATACACACATACACACACACATACATACACACATACACACATATACATACACACATACACACGTACACACATACATACACACACATACACACATACACAGGTACACACACACGTACACACATACACACAGGTTAAACACGTACACACACACACAGGTTAAACACTCACTCACTCACACACGTACACACATGTACACGCACGTACACACACACACACAGGTACACACACACGTACACACACACACACGTACACACACCCACCCACACACCCACACCCACACACACGTACACACACGTACACACACGTACACACACAGGTACACACACACACACGTACACAGGTACACACACACGTACACACACACACATACACCCACTCACACACACACACGTACACCCACACCCACACACAGGTACACACGCAGATACACACGTACACACCCACACACAGGTACACACACACACACGTACACAGGTACACACACACGTACACACACACACACACCCACTCACACACACACACGTACACCCACCCACACAGGTACACACACAGGTACACACATACACACACACACAGGTACACACATACACACAGACACGAATACACACACATACACACACCCACTCACACACGTACACCCACCCACACCCACACACAGGTACACACGCAGGTACACATGTACACACCCACACACAGGTACACACATACACACCCACACACATACACACCCACCCACACACCCACCCACCCACCCACACACACGTACACCCACACACACGTACACCTACACACACGTACACCCACACACACACCTACCCACCCACACACACCCACCCACACCCACACACCCACACACACCCACACCCACCCACCCACACACCCACACCCACCCACCCACACACACACCCACACACACCCACACACCCACACACCCACCCACACCCACCCACCCACACACACACACCCACACACCCACCCACACACACCCACCCACACCACCACCACCACCCCACACACCACCCCCCACGCACTTAGGCAGGATGTGTTGGAGGACGCGTGTGGCATATTCCTGCAGGTGCTTCTGGAATACGGCGGCCAGCCCCAGCAAGGCCTCGCCACGGCTCAGCTGGGAACACTGCACAAGGCACCGCTTGTAGTACACAAAGAGGTCGGCACAGCTTGGCAGCACCGCTCCACCAGCGGCACCACCACCACCGGCACCGGTGCCACCGGCACCGCCGCCCGGTTGTGGTGCCGGTGGTGGCGGTGGTTGTGGCGCTGGTGGTGGCCGAGCTTCCTGGGCAAAGCGCTGGATCAGCTGGGTCAGGTTCCTGCCGGGGAGGAGGGTGAGAGGTGGCGGTGGTGACGGTGACGGTGTTGGTGGTGGTGTGTGGTGGTGTGGTGGTGTGGTGTAGTGTAGTGTGGTGTGGTGGTGTAGTGTGGTGTGGTGGTGGTGTGGTGGTGGTGTGGTGGTGGTGGTGTGGTGGTGGTGGTGTGGTGGTGTGGTGTGGTGGTGTGATGGTGGTGGTGTTGGTGTGGTGTGTGGTGTGGTGGTGGTGTGGTGGTGTAGTGTGGTGTAGTGTTGGTGTGGTGGTGTTGGTGACGGTGGTGTGGTGGTGGTGGTGTGGTGGTGTAGTGTGGGGGTGGTGTTGGTGGTGTGATGGTGGTGGTGTGGTGGTGGTGGTGTAGTGGTGTGTGGTGTGGTGTGGTGACGGTGGCGGTGTGGTGTAGTGTGGTGTAGTGGTGTAGTGTAGTGGTGTAGTGTAGTGGTGTAGTGTAGTGTATAGTGTATTGTAGTGGTGTAGTGGTGTAGTGTGGTGGTGTAGTGTAGTGGTGTAGTGTGGTGGTGTAGTGTAGTGTATAGTGTATTGTAGTGGTGTAGTGGTGTAGTGTAGTGGTGTAGTGTAGTGGTGTAGTGTAGTGTATAGTGTATTGTAGTGGTGTAGTGGTGTAGTGTGGTGGTGTAGTGTAGTGTAGTGGTGTAGTGTAGTGGTGTAGTGTAGTGGTGTAGTAGTGTAGTGGTGTAGTGTAGTAGTGTAGTGTATAGTGTATTGTAGTGGTGTAGTGGTGTAGTGTAGTGGTGTAGTGTAGTGGTGTAGTGGTGTAGGTTAGTGGTGTAGTGTAGTAGTGTAGTGTATAGTGTATTGTAGTGGTGTAGTGGTGTAGTGTAGTGGTGTAGTGTAGTGGTGTAGTGGTGTAGTGTAGTAGTGTAGTGGTGTAGTGTAGTGGTGTAGTGTAGTGGTGTAGTGTAGTGTATAGTGTAGTGTAGTGGTGTAGTGTAGTGTATAGTGTAGTGTAGTGGTGTAGTGTAGTGGTGTAGTGTAGTGTATAGTGTAGTGTAGTGGTGTAGTGTAGTGTATAGTGTAGTGTAGTGGTGTGGTGTGTAGTGGTGTAGTGTAGTGGTGGTCAGTGTGTCTCAGAGTGTGTCAGTGTCTCTGTGTGTCTCTGTGTGTCCCTCAGTGTCTCTCTGTCTCTCAGTGTCTCAGTGTGTCTCACTGTCAGTGTGTCTCAGTGTATCTCAGTGTGTCTCTGTGTCTCAGTGTCTCTGTGTGTCTCAGTGTGTCTCAGTGTCTGTGTGTCTCAGTGTGTCTCAGTGTGTCTCAGTGTCTCAGTGTGTGTCTGTGTGTCTCTGTGTGTGTCTCAGTGTGTCTCTGTGTGTCTCAGTGTCTCAGTGTCTCTGTGTGTGTGTCAGTGTGTCTCAGTGTGTCTCTGTGTATCTCAGTGTGTCTCTGTGTGTCTCTCTGTGTCTCTGTGTGTCTCTGTGTGTCTCTGTGTGTCTCAGTGTGTCTCTGTGTGTCTCTGTGTGTCTCAGTGTGTCTCAGTGTGTCTCAGTGTGTCTCAGTGTGTCTCAGTCTGTGTCAGTGTGTCTCAGTGTCTCTGTGTGTCTCAGTGTGTCTCTCAGTCTCTCAGTGTGTCTCAGTGTGTCTCTGTGTGTCTCTGTGTGTCTGTGTCTCAGTATGTCTCTGTGTGTCTCTGTGTGTCTCTGTGTGTCTCTGTGTGTCTCTGTGTGTCTCAGTCTGTGTCAGTGTGTCTCAGTGTCTCTGTGTGTCTCAGTGTGTCTCTCAGTCTCTCAGTGTGTCTCAGTGTGTCTCTGTGTGTCTCAGTGTGTCTGTGTCTCAGTATGTCTCTGTGTGTCTCAGTGTGTCTCTGTGTGTCTCTGTGTGTCTCAATGTGTCTCAGTGTGTCTCAGTGTCTCAGTGTCTCAGTGTCTCTCAGTGTCTCAGTGTGTCTCAGTGTGTCTCAGTGTGTCTCAGTGTGTCTCAATGTCTCAGTGTGTCTCAGTGTGTCTGTGTGTCTGTGTGTCTCAGTGTGTCTCAGTGTGTCTGTGTCTCAGTGTGTCTCAATGTCTCAGTGTGTCTCTGTGTGTCTCAGTGTCTCAGTGTGTCTCAGTGTGTCTCAGTGTGTCTCAGTGTGTCTGTGTGTGTCTGTGTGTCTCTGTGTGTCTCAGTGTGTCTCTGTGTGTCTCAGTGTGTCTCAGTGTCTCTGTGTGTCTCAGTGTCTCAGTGTGTCTCAGTGTGTCTCAGTGTGTCTCAGTGTATCAGTGTGTCTCAGTGTGTCTCAGTGTGTCTCAGTGTGTCTCTGTGTGTCTAAGTGTGTCTCAGTATGTCTCTGTGTCTCAGTGTGTCTCTGTGTGTCTCAATGTGTCTCAATGTGTCTCAGTGTCTCAGTGTCTCAGTGTCTCTCAGTCTCTCAGTGTGTCTCAGTGTCTCTCAGTGTGTCTCAGTGTGTCTCAGTGTGTCTCAATGTCTCAGTGTGTCTCAGTGTCTCTGTGTGTCTCTGTGTGTCTCAGTGTATCTCAGTGTCTCAGTGTGTCTCAGTGTGTCTCAGTGTCTCTGTGTGTCTCAGTGTGTCTCAGTGTGTCTCTGTGTGTCTCAGTGTGTCTCAGTGTCTCTGTGTCTCAGTGTGTCTCAGTGTCTCTGTGTGTCTCTGTGTGTGTCTCTGTGTCTTAGTGTCTCAGTGTGTCTCAGTGTGTCTCAGTGTGTCTCTGTGTGTCTCAGAGTGTCTCAGTGTGTCTCAGGGTGTCTCAGTGTGTCTCAGTGTGTCTCTCTGTGTCTCAGTGTGTCTCTGTGTGTCTCAGTGTGTCTCAGTGTGTCTCTGTGTGTCTCAGTGTCTCTGTGTGTCTCTGTGTGTCTCTGTGTGTCTCAGTGTGTCTCTGTGTGTCTCAGTGTCTCTGTGTGTCTCTGTGTGTCTCAGTGTGTCTCAGTGTGTCACTGTGTGTCTCAGTGTGTCTGTGTGTCTCAGTGTGTCTCTGTGTGTCTCAGTGTGTCTGTGTGTCTCAGTGTGTCTCCGTGTGTCTCAATGTGTCTCAGTGTGTCTCTGTGTGTCTCTGTGTCTCAGTGTCTCAGCGTGTCTCAGCGTGTCTCAGTGTCTCTGTGTGTCTCAATGTGTCTCAGTGTGTCTCAGTGTGCCTCAGTGTCTGTGTGTCTCAGTGTCTGTGTGTCTCAGTGTATCAGTGTCTCAGTGTGTTTCAGTGTGTCTCTGTGTGTGTCTCTGTGTGTGTCTCATTGTGTCTCTGTGTGTGTCTCTGTGTGTGTCTCAGTGTGTCTCAGTGTCTCAGTGTCTCTGTGTCTCTGTGTCTCTCAGTGTGTCTCAGTGTGTCTCAGTGTCTCTGTGTCTCTCAGTGTGTCTCAGTGTGTCAGTGTCTCAGTGTCTCAGTGTGTCTCTGTGTGTCTCTGTGTGTCTCAGTGTGTCTCTGTGTGTGTCTCAGTGTGTCTCAGTGTGTCTCTGTGTGTCTCTGTGTGTCTCTGTCTCAGTGTGTCTCTGTGTGTCTCTGTGTGTCTCTGTGTGTCTCAGTGTCTCTGTGTCTCTGTGTCTCAGTGTGTCTCAGTGTGTCTCTGTGTGTCTCAGTGTGTCTCAGTGTGTCTCAGTGTCTCAGTGTGTCTCAGTGTGTCTCAGTGTCTCAGTGTGTGTCTGTGTGTGTCTGTGTGTCTCAGTGTGTCTCAGTGTCTCAGAGTGTCTCAGTGTGTCTCAGTGTGTCTCTGTGTGTCTCAGTGTGTCTCAGTGTCTCTGTGTGTCTCAGTGTGTCTCCGTGTGTGTCTCAGTGTGTCTCAGTGTGTCTCTGTGTGTCTGTGTGTGTCAGTGTCTCAGTGTCTCAGTGTGTCTCTGTGTGTCTCAGTGTGTCTCTGTGTGTCTCTGTGTGTCTCTGTGTGTCTGTGTGTGTCTCTGTGTGTCTCAGTGTGTCTCAGTGTCTCAGTGTGTCTCTGTGTGTCTCTGTGTGTCTCTGTGTGTCTGTGTGTGTCTCTGTGTGTCTGTGTGTGTCTGTGTGTGTCTCAGTGTCTCAGTGTGTCTCTGTGTGTCTCAGTGTGTCTCTGTGTGTCTCAGTGTGTCTCAGTGTGTCTCAGTGTGTCTCTGTGTGTGTCTCAGTGTCTCTGTGTGTCTGTGTGTCTCAGTGTGTCTCAGTGTCTCTCAGTGTGTCTCTGTGTGTCTCAGTGTCTCTGTGTGTCTCAGTGTGTCTCTGTGTGTCTCAGTGTGTCTCTCTGTGTCTCAGTGTCTCTGTGTCTCAGTGTGTCTCAGTGTGTCTCTGTGTGTCTCTGTGTGTCTCAGTGTCTCTGTGTCTCTGTGTGTCTCAGTGTGTCTCTGTGTGTCTCAGTGTCTCTGTGTGTCTCTGTGTGTCTCTGTGTGTCTCTGTGTGTCTCAGTGTGTCTCTGTGTCTCTGTGTGTCTCAGAGTGTCTCAGAGTGTCTCTGTGTGTCTCAGTGTCTCAGTGTGTCTCAGTGTGTCTCTGTGTGTCTCAGTGTGTCTCAATGTGTCTCAGTGTCTCTGTGTGTCTCTGTGTGTCTCAGTGTGTCTGTGTGTCTCAGTGTGTCTCAGTGTGTCTCTGTGTGTCTCAGTGTCTCTGTGTGTCTCAGTGTGTCTCAGTGTGTCTCTGTGTCTCAGTGTCTCAGAGTGTCTCTGTGTGTCTCAGTGTCTCAGTGTCTCAGTGTGTCTCAGTGTGTCTCAGTGTGTCTCAGTGTGTCTGTGTGTCTCAGTGTGTCTGTGTGTGTCTCTGTGTGTCTCTGTGTGTCTCAGTGTGTCTCAGTGTGTCTCTGTGTGTCTGTGTGTGTCTCAGTGTGTCTCAGTGTGTCTCAGTGTCTCAGTGTCTCTGTGTGTCTCTGTGTGTCTCAGTGTGTCTCTGTGTGTCTGTGTGTGTCTCAGTGTGTCTCTGTGTGTCTCAGTGTCTCAGTGTGTCTCAGTGTGTCTCAGTGTGTCTCAGTGTGTCTCTGTGTGTCTCTGTGTGTCTCAGTCTGTCTGAGTGTGTCTCAGTGTCTCAGTGTGTCTCTGTGTGTCTCTGTGTGTCTCTGTGTGTCAGTGTCTCTGTGTGTCTCAGTGTGTCTCAGTGTGTCTCTGTGTCTCAGTGTCTCAGTGTGTCTCAGTGTGTCTCAGTGTGTCTCTGTGTGTCTCTGTGTGTCTCAGTGTGTCTCAGTGTGTCTCTGTGTGTCTCAGTGTGTCTCAGTGTGTCTCAGTGTGTCTCAGAGTGTCTCAGTGTGTCTCTGTGTGTCTCAGTGTCTCAGTGTGTCTCAGTGTGTCTCAGTGTGTCTCTGTGTGTCTCTGTGTGTCTCAGTGTGTCTCTGTGTGTCTCAGTGTCTCAGTGTGTCTCAGAGTGTCTCAGTGTGTCTCTGTGTGTCTCTGTGTGTCTCAGTGTGTCTCAGTGTGTCTCAGTGTGTCTCAGAGTGTCTCAGTGTGTCTCTGTGTGTCTCAGTGTCTCAGTGTGTCTCAGTGTGTCTCAGTGTGTCTCAGTGTGTCTCTGTGTGTCTCAGTGTGTCTCAGTGTGTCTCAGTGTGTCTCAGTGTGTCTCAGTGTGTCTCAGTGTGTCTCAGTGTGTCTCAGTCTGTCTCAGTGTGTCTCAGTGTGTCTCAGTGTGTCTCAGTGTGTCTCAGTGTGTCTCAGTCTGTCTCAGTGTGTCTCAGTCTGTCTCTGTGTGTCTCAATGTGTCTCAGTGTCTCTGTGTGTCTCTGTGTGTGTCTCTGTGTGTCTCAGTGTCTCAGTGTGTCTCAGTGTGTCTCAGTGTCTCTGTGTGTCTCAGTGTCTCAGTATCTCAGTGTCTCAGTGTCTGTGTGTCTCAGTGTGTCTGTGTGTGTGTGTGTCTCAGTGTCTCAGTGTTTCTCAGTGTGTCTCAGTGTCTGTGTGTGTCTCAGTGTCTCAGTGTGTCTCTGTGTCTCAGTGTCTGTGTGTCTCTGTGTGTCTGTGTGTCTCTGTGTGTCTGTGTCTCAGTGTGTCTCTGTGTGTGTCTCTGTGTGTGTCTCTGTGTGTCTCTGTGTGTCTCTGTGTGTGTCTCTGTGTGTCTCTGTGTGTCTCAGTGTGTCTCAGTGTGTCTGTGTGTGTCTCAGTGTATCTCAGTGTGTCTCCGCGTGTCTCAGCGTGTCTCTGTGTGTCTCTGTGTGTGTCTCAGTGTGTCTCTGTGTGTGTCTGTGTGTGTCTCTGTGTGTGTCTGTGTGTGTCTCAGTGTGTCTCTGTGTGTGTCTCTGTGTGTCTCACCTGTCCTGCGACTCTTAGTGTGTCTCAGTGTCTCAGTGTGTCTCTGTGAGTGTCTCAGTGTCTCCGTGTGTCTCTCTGTGTGTCTGTGTGTGTCTGTGTGTGTCTGTGTGTCTCTGTGTGTCTCTGTGTGTCTCTGTGTGTGTCTGTGTGTGTCTCTGTGTGTCTATGTGTGTGTCTCTGTGTCTGTCTCAGTATCTCCGTGTGTCTCAGTGTGTCTCAGTGTCTCAGTGTGTCTGTGTGTCTCAGTGTCTCCGTGTGTCTCCGTGTGTCTCCGTGTGTGTCTCTGTGTGTCTCTGTGTGTGTCTCTGTGTGTGTCTCTGTGTGTCTCAGTGTCTCAGTGTTTCTGTGTGTGTCTCTGTGTGTCTCTGTGTGTGTCTCTGTGTGTGTCTGTGTGTGTCTCACCTGTCCTGCGACTCTCAGTGTGTCTCTGTGTCTCAGTGTGTCTCAGTGTGTGTCTGTGTGTGTCTGTGTGTGTCTGTGTGTGTCTGTGTGTGTCTGTGTGTGTCTGTGTGTGTCTCACCTGTCCTGCGACTCTCAGTGTGTCTCTGTGTCTCAGTGTGTCTCAGTGTGTGTCTGTGTGTGTCTGTGTGTGTCTGTGTGTGTCTCTGTGTGTGTGTCTGTGTGTGTCTGTGTGTGTCTCACCTGTCCTGCGACTCTCAGTGTGTCTCTGTGTCTCAGTGTGTCTCAGTGTGTCTCTGTGTGTCTCTGTGTGTCTCTGTGTGTGTCTGTGTGTGTCTCACCTGTCCTGCGACTCGATGTACACGTTGAGGTGCGGCTCGAAGCACTTGCAGATGATTCCGTGGAAGGGGCTCTCAGCCACCAGCGCCTTGCGAGGCTGCACACAGACAAAGGTGCCCCAGGTAGCCTTCAGCACAGCGCAGGGGCAAGTGCTGTGAGTAGCAGCAGCAGCAGCGTCAGTCACTCAGTCAGTCAGTCACTCACTCAGTCAGTCACTCACTCAGTCAGTCACTCACTCAGTCACTCACTCACTCAGTCACTCACTCAGTCACTCAGTCACTCACTCAGTCAGTCACTCAGTCACTCAGTCACTCACTCAGTCACTCAGTCACTCAGTCAGTCACTCAGTCACTCAGTCACTCAGTCACTCACTCAGTCACTCACACACTCAGTCACTCAGTCACTCACTCAGTCACTCACTCAGTCACTCACTCAGTCACTCAGTCAGTCAGTCACTCACTCAGTCACTCACTCAGTCACTCAGTCACTCAGTCACTCACTCAGTCACTCAGTCACTCACTCACTACTCACTCAGGCACTCAGTCAGTCAGTCACTCACTCAGTCACTCAGTCACTCACTCAGTCACTCACTCACTCAGTCACTCACTCAGTCACTCACTCAGTCACTCACTCAGTCACTCAGTCACTCACTCACACACTCAGCCACTCACTCAGTCACTCAGTCACTCACTCACCCACTCACTCACACACTCAGTCACTCACTCACCCACTCACTCACTCACACACTCAGTCACTCACTCACTCACACAGTCACTCAGTCACTCACTCACACACTCAGTCACACACTCAGCCACTCACTCACTCACACAGTCACTCAGTCACTCACTCACACACTCAGTCACTCACTCAGTCACTCACACACTCAGTCACTCACTCACCCACTCACTCAGTCACTCACTCAGTCAGTCACTCAGTCACACACTCAGTCACTCACTCACACACTCACTCAGTCAGTCACTCACTCACACACTCAGTCACTCAGTCAGACACTCAGTCACTCAGTCACTCACTCACTCACTCACCCACTCACTCAGTCACTCACTCACTCACTCAGTCACTCACTCAGTCACTCACTCACTCACTCAGTCACTCAGTCACACAGTCACTCAGTCACTCACACACTCACTCAGTCACACACTCAGTCACTCAGTCACTCACTCACTCACACACTCAGTCACTCACACACTCACTCGAACACTCACTCACACACTCAGCCACTCACTCAGTCACTCAGTCACTCACTCACCCACCCACCCACTCACACTCACTCACTCAGTCACTCACTCAGTCACTCAGTCACTCACACACTCACTCACTCAGTCACTCACTCAGTCACTAACACACTCAGTCACTCACTCACTCACACACTCACTCACACACTCAGTCACTCACACACTCACTCGAACACTCACTCACACACTCAGCCACTCACTCAGTCACTCAGTCACTCACTCACCCACCCACCCACCCACTCAAACTCACTCACTCAGTCACTCACTCAGTCACTCAGTCACTCACACACTCAGTCACTCAGTCACTCACTCACACAGTCACTCAGTCACTCACTCACACACTCAGTCACTCACTCACACACTCAGTCACTCACTCAGTCACTCAGTCACTCACACACTCAGTCACTCAGTCAGTCACTCACTCACTCAGTCATTCACACACACACACAGTCACTCACTCACTCAGTCACTCACACACTCAGTCACACAGTAACACACACACACAGTAACACACACACACAGTAACACACACACACAGTAACACACACACACAGTAACACACACACAGTAACACACACACACAGTAACACACACACAGTAACACACACACAGTAACACACACACACAGTGACACACAGTAACACACACACACAGGTACACACAGTAACACACACACACAGACACACACACAGTAACACACACACAGTAACACACACACACAGGTACACACAGTAACACACACACAGTAACACACACACAGTAACACACACAGGTACACACAGTAACACACACAGTAACCCACACACACAGGTACACACAGTAACACACACACAGGTACACACAGTAACACACACACAGGTATACACAGTAACACACACACACACAGTAACACACACACAGTAACACACACACACAGGTACACACAGTAACACACACACAGTAACACACACACAGTAACACACAGTAACACACACACACAGTAACACATACACACAGGTACACACAGTAACACACACACTCACACAGGTACACACACACACAGGTACACACAGTAACACACACAGGTACACACAGTAACACACACACAGTAACACACACACAGGTACACACAGTAACACACACACACACAGGTATACACAGTAACACACACACACAGGTACACACAGTAACACACACACACACAGGTACACACAGTAACACACACACAGACACACACACACAGTAACACACACACAGGTACACACAGTAACACACACAGTAACACACACAGTAACACACACACACAGTAACACACACACAGTAACACACACACACAGTAACACACACAGGTACACACAGTAACACACAGGTACACACAGTAACACACACACAGGTACACACAGTAACACACACACATACACAGGTACACACAGTAACACACACACACAGGTACACACAGTAACACACACACACACAGGTACACACAGTAACACACACACAGGTACACACAGTAACACGCACACATAGGTACACATAGTAACACACACACACACGTATACACAGTAACACACACACATAGGTACACACAGTAACACACACACACACAGTAACACACACACAGGTACACACAGTAACACACACACAGTAACACACACACAGGTACACACAGTAACACACACAGGTACACACAGTAACACACACACAGTAACACACACACACAGGTACACACAGTAACACACACACAGGTACACACAGTAACACACACACAGGTACACACAGTAACACACACACAGGTACACACAGTAACACACACACAGGTACACACAGTAACACACACAGTAACACACACACACATAGGTACACACAGTAACACAAACACACAGGTACACACAGGTACAAAGACAAAGATCCCCCGTGTAGCCTTAACAGACTGTAGGGGCAAGTGCTGTTAGCGAGCACCTATGAAGGCCGGAACGGTACACGAGGGGGTGGGTGGCCAGCACCACGCCCGACCGCCTTTGTCTCCCCAGTGGCGATGTTTACACACCGCACCAGGTACTCATTTGAGGCTGAGTCGACCTAGGGGAGGCCCGGGACTGGTTCAGATAATAACACACACACACAGGTACACACAGTAACACACACACACACACAGGTACACACAGTAACACACACACAGGTACACACAGTAACACACACACACAGGTACACACAGTAACACACACACAGGTACACACACACACAGTAACACACACGTACACACAGTAACACACACACACAGGTACACACACACACACACATACGGGTACATACACACAGACAGACAGGTACACACAGTAACACACACACACACACAGGTACACACACACAGGTACACACACACACAGGTACACACACACACAGGTACACACACACAGGTACACACACACAGGTACACACACACTCATAGATACACATACACACACAGTAACACACACACATAGATACACATACACACAGTAACACACACACACAGGTACACACACACACACAGTAACACACACACAGTAACACACACACACAGGTACACACACACACAGTAACACACACACACAGGTACACACACACACACATACACACACACACAGGTACACACACACACAGGTACACACAGTAACCCCACGTGATCCCCACGTGGTCCACCTGGGTCCCCACGTGATCCCCTGTGACCCCACGTGACCCCACGTGATCCCCACGTGACCCCCTGTGACCCCACATGGTTCCCCACGTGACCCCCTGTGACCCCCTGTGACCCCCTGGGTGCCCACGTGGTCCCCTGGGTCCCCACGTGATCCCCACGTGATCCCCACGTGGTCCCCTGGGTGCCCACGTGGTCCCCTGGGTCCCCACGTGGTCCCCACGTGGTCCCCACGTGACCCCACGTGACCCCCTGTGACCCCCTGGGTGCCCACGTGGTCCCCTGGGTCCCCACGTGGTCCCCACAGGACCTTGTCGAGCTCCGTCTCCCGCTGAGAGCCGGATTCACCGTGGGCCTCCGCCTCCTCAGCCTCAGCATCCTCAGCCTCCGCCTCCTCAGCCCCAGCGAAGGAATTCTCCCCAGACACCGCAGACGGCAGCTTGGGTGTCTGTGGGGGAGACACGGGGGGGAGACACGGGGAGACACGGGGGAGACAAGGGGGAGACACGGGGAGACACGGGGGAGACACGGGGGAGACACGGGGGAGAGACACGGGGAGAGAGACACGGGGAGAGAGACATGGGGAGACACGGGGGGGGAGACACGGGGAGACAAGGGGGAGACACGGGGAGACACGGGGGAGACACGGGGGAGACACGGGGGAGACAAGGGGGAGACACGGGGAGAGAGACACGGGGGGGGGAGACACGGGGGGGGGGAGACACGGGGAGACACGGGGGAGACACGGGGAGACAAGGGGGGAGAGACACGGGGGGGAGACGCGGGGGGGAGACACGGGGGGAGAGACACGGGGAGAGAGACACGGGGAGAGAGACACGGGGAGACACGGGGGAGAGACACGGGGGGGGAGACACGGGGAGAGAGACACGGGGGGGAGACACGGGGAGACAAGGGGGGAGAGACACGGGGGGAGAGACACGGGGGGGAGACACGGGGGGGAGACACGGGGAGACACGGGGGGGAGACACGGGGGGACACGGGGAGAGACACAGAAGGAGAGACACGGGGAGACAAGGGGGAGACACGGGGGGAGACACGCGGAGACACGGGGGGGGAGACACGGGGGGAGACACGGGGAGACACGGGGGAGAGACACGGGGGGGGAGACACGGGGGTGGAGACACGGGGGAGAGACACGGGGGGGGAGACACGGGGGTGGAGACACGGGGGAGAGACACGGGGAGAGAGACACGGGGGAGAGACACGGGGGAGAGACACGGGGAGAGAGACACGGGGAGAGACACGGGGGGAGAGACACGGGGGGAGAGACACGGGGAGAGAGACACGGGGAGAGACACGGGGGGGGAGACACGGGGGGAGAGACACGGGGAGAGAGACACGGGGAGAGAGACACGGGGAGAGAGACACGGGGAGACACGGGGGGGGAGACACGGGGGGGAGACACGGGGGGGAGACACGGGGGGGAGACACGGGGGGAGAGACACGGGGGGGGAGACACGGGGAGAGAGACACGGGGGGGAGACACGGGGAGAGAGACACGGGGAGAGAGACACGGGGAGAGAGACACGGGGAGACACGGGGGGGGAGACACGGGGGGGAGACACGGGGGGGAGACACGGGGGGAGAGACGCGGGGGGAGAGACACGGGGGGGAGACACGGGGGGGGGAGACACGGGGAGACATGGGGAGAGACACGGGGAGAGAGACACGGGGGGGGGAGACACGGGGGGAGAGACACGGGGGGAGAGACACGGGGGGGAGACACGGGGAGACACGGGGGGGAGACATGGGGGGGAGACACGGGGAGAGAGACACGGGGGGGGAGACACGGGGGGAGAGACACGGGGGGAGAGACACGGGGGGAGACACGGGGGGAGACATGGGGAGAGACACGGGGAGAGAGACACGGGGGGGGGAGACATGGGGAGAGACACGGGGAGAGAGACACGGGGGGGGGAGACACGGGGGGAGAGACACGGGGGGAGAGACACGGGGGGGAGACACGGGGAGACACGGGGGAGACACGGGGGGGAGACATGGGGGGGAGACACGGGGAGAGAGACACGGGGGGGGGAGACACGGGGGGAGAGACACGGGGGGAGAGACACGGGGGGAGACACGGGGGGAGACACGGGGGGGAGACACGGGGGGAGAGACACGGGGGGGAGACACGGGGGGGAGACACGGGGAGAGACACGGGGGGGAGACACGGGGAGAGAGACACAGGGGGGAGACACGGGGGGGAGACACGGGGGGGAGACACGGGGGGGAGACACGGGGGGGAGACACGGGGGGGAGACACGGGGGGGAGAGACACGTGGGGAGAGACACGGGGGGGAGACACGGGGAGAGAGACACAGGGGGGAGACACGGGGGGGAGACATGGGGTGAGACACGGGGAGAGAGACACGGGGGGGGGAGACACGGGGGGAGAGACACGGGGGGAGACACGGGGGGAGACACGGGGGGAGAGACACGGGGGGGGAGACACGGGGGGGAGACACGGAGGGAGACACGGGGGGGAGACACGGGGGGGAGACACGGGGGGGAGACACGGGGAGAGACACGGGGGGGAGACACGGGGGAAGAGACACGGGGGGGAGACACGGGGGGGAGACACGGGGAGAGACACGGGGGGGAGACACGGGGAGAGAGACACGGGGGGGAGACACGGGGGGGAGACACGGGGGGGAGACACGGGGGGGAGACACGGGGGGGAGACACGGGGGGAGAGACACGTGGGGAGAGACACGGGGGGGAGACACGGGGGGGAGACACGGGGGGGGAGACACGGGGAGACACGGGGAGACACAGGGGAGAGACACGGGGAGACACGGGGAGACAAGGGGGGAGAGACACGGGGAGAGAGACACGGGGGAGAGACACGGGGGGAGAGACACGTGGGGAGAGACACGGGGAGACACGGGGGGAGAGACACGGGGGGAGGGGAGACACGGGGGGGGAGACACGGGGAGACACGGGGGAGACAGGGTGGCTGAGACACTCACAGTGAGTGAGTGACTGAGTGAGTGACTGAGTGAGTGACTGAGTAACTGAGTGACTGAGTGAGTAACTGAGTGAGTAACTGAGTAACTGAGTGACTGAGTGAGTAACTGAGTGAGGAACTGAGTGAGTAACTGAGTGAGTAACTGAGTGACTGAGTGAGTAACTAAATGAGTGAGTGACTGAGTGACTGACTGAGTGAGTGACTGAGTGACTGAGTGACTGAGTGAGTAACTGACTGACTGAGTAACTGAGTGACTGACTGACTGAGTGAGGAACTGAGTGAGTGACTGAGTGAGTGACTGAGTGACTGACTGAGTGACTGAGTGAGTGACTGACTGAGTGACTGACTGACTGAGTGACTGACTGACTGAGTGGCTGAGTAACTGAGTGACTGAGTGACTGACTGAGTGACTGACTGACTGAGTGACTGAGTAACTGACTGAGTGACTGAGTAACTGACTGACTGAGTGACTGACTGAGTGACTGAGTAACTGAGTGACTGAGTGACTGACTGAGTGACTGACTGAGTGACTGACTGAGTGACTGAGTAACTGACTGAGTGACTGACTGAGTGGCTGAGTAACTGAGTGACTGACTGAGTGACTGACTGAGTGACTGAGTGACTGACTGAGTGACTGAGTGACTGACTGAGTGACTGAGTAACTGACTGAGTGACTGAGTAACTGACTGACTGAGTGACCGACTGAGTGACTGACTGAGTAACTGAGTGACTGACTGAGTGACTGACTGAGTAACTGACTGACTGAGTGACTGAGTGACTGAGTAACTGACTGACTAACTGACTGAGTGAGTGACTGACTGAGTGACTGAGTAACTGACTGACTGAGTGACTGACTGAGTGACTGACTGAGTGACTGAGTGACTGAGTAACTGAGTGACTAACTGACTGAGTGACTGACTGAGTGACTGAGTGAGTGACTGAGTGAGTGACTGACTGAGTGACTGAGTGACTGAGTAACTGAGTGAGTAACTGACTGAGTGACTGACTGAGTGACTGACTGAGTGAGTGACTGACTGAGTGACTAACTGACTGAGTGACTAACTGAGTGACTGACTGAGTGACTGACTGAGTGACTAACTGAGTGACTGACCGAGTGACTAACTAACTGACTGAGTGACTGACTGAGTGACTGACTGAGTGACTGAGTGAGTGACTGACTGAGTGACTGAGTGACTGAGTAACTGAGTGACTAACTGACTGAGTGACTGACTGAGTGACTGAGTGAGTGACTGACTGAGTGACTGAGTAACTGAGTGAGTAACTGACTGAGTGACTGACTGAGTGACTGACTGAGTGACTAACTGACTGACTGACTAACTGACTGACTGACTAACTAACTGACTAACTAACTAACTGACTAACTAACTAACTGACTACTGACTAACTAACTGACTGACTGACTGACTAACTGACTAACTAACTAACTGACTGACTGACTAACTGAGTGACTAACTGACTGACTGACTGACTAACTGACTAACTAACTAACTGACTAACTAACTGACTGACTAACTGACTAACTGACTAACTAACTGACTAACTAACTAACTGACTGACTGACTAACTGACTGACTGACTAACTGACTGACTGACTAACTGACTGACTAAATAACTAACTGACTAACTAACTGACTAACTAACTAACTAACTGACTAACTAACTGACTAACTAACTAACTGACTAACTAACTGACTAACTAACTGACTAACTAACTAACTGACTAACTAACTGACTGACTGACTGACTAACTGACTAACTGACTGACTAACTAACTGACTAACTGACTGACTAACTAACTGACTAACTAACTGACTAACTAACTAACTAACTGACTGACTAACTGACTAACTAAATGACTGACTAACTGACTAACTAACTGACTAACTAACTAACTGACTAACTAACTAACTGACTAACTGACTGACTGACTAACTGACTGACTGACTGACTGACTAACTAAATGACTGACTGACTAACTGACTAACTAACTGACTAACTGACTGACTAACTAACTGACTAACTGACTAACTAACTAACTGACTAACTGACTGACTGACTAACTGACTAACTAACTGACTAACTGACTGACTGACTAACTGACTAACTGACTAACTGACTAACTAACTGACTAACTGACTGACTAACTAACTGACTAACTGACTGACTAACTGACTAACTAACTAACTGACTGACTGAGTGACTGACTGAGTGACTGACTGACTGAGTGACTGAGTAACTGACTGACTGACTAACTAACTGAGTGACTGAGTGACTAACTGACTAACTAACTGACTGACTAACTAACTGACTAACTAACTAACTGACTGACTGACTGACTAACTGAGTGACTGACTAACTAACTAACTGACTAACTAACTGACTGACTAACTGAGTGACTAACTGACTGACTGACTGACTAACTGACTGACTAACTAACTGACTGACTGACTAACTAACTAACTAACTGACTAACTGACTGACTGAGTGACTAACTGACTAACTAACTAACTAACTGACTGACTAACTGACTGACTAACTAACTAACTGAGTGACTGACTGAGTGACTGACTGACTGACTAACTGAGTGACTGACCGAGCTCCCCACCTGTGGACCTGTCACCAGCGTGCTCCCGCTGAATCGCTGAGCCAGCAACGCCTCAAACGCCGCCGTGCGCCGGATGGCAAACAGCAGCAGCTTCACCTCCAGATCCCCGGAGCGCGCCCGCATCAAGCGTGCCAACTCACTCCTACCAACGACAACAACGACGACAACGACGCTTGTGCCAGGCTAGGTGCACCCCGAGGCCGCCACGTGAAGTGTCGAACGCCCGCTGGCAGGAGGTCACGGGGCAGACCCAGCAGGTGCCACGGGTCGACTGACTGAGATGACTGAGATGACTACTGGCTGATGCACCACCTGTGCCCCCCTTACTGTGCCAACCTGCTGTGCTTTAGCCACCCGGCGCTCCGCTCGTTAATCTGAGCGTCGCTCCTCCGCCCTCTGTTGTTGTTGGAGGGCACTGACACACTGACACACACACGTACACACACACACGTACACACACGTACACACACGTACACACACGTACACACACGTACACACACGTACACACACGTACACACCGACACACTGACACACCAACACACACACACTGACACACACACACTGACACACACACACTGACACACACACACGTACACACACACGTACACACACACGTACACACACTACAACAACAACAACAACCGCCATTCGCCACTAAGTGGCGGTGACGTCACCACGACGCTTGTGCCAGGCTATGTGCACCCTGAGGCCACGTGAAGTGTCGAACGCCCGCTGGCAGGAGGTCACGGGGCAGACCCAGCAGGTGCCACGGGTCGACTGACTTGAGATGACTACTGGCTGATGCACCACCTGTGCCCCCCTTACTGTGCCAACCTGCTGCGCTTTAGCCACCCGGCGCTCCGCTCGTTGTTGTGAGCGTCACTCCTCCGCCCTCCGTTGTTGTTGTTGGAGGGCGACTGCCTCCAACTGCCCAGTAGCGGCGTCCTTCACGAGCCTCCTCCACAGAGGCCGATCTTGACACCGCTGGTAGCGGTCATCGGTAAGTCCACTCAGCTCCACGTCCTCCTGTACCACATCACTCCATCTCTTCTCTAGCCCGTGCCGCGCCCGCTTAGCCCCCTCGATCCGGCCGAACAAAAGCTGTTTCGGCATGCGGTGGCTGGGGCATGCGGGCTACATGACCCAGCCAACGCAGCCTTGCCCGCCGGAGGAGCTCACCGATGGGACCTTGCCCAGATCTTTCAAGGATTTGTGAGCTCCTCACACAATACAGTCATGTTAAACCCAGGATGGGTCGTAGGCAGGCCAGCCTAAATGTTTCTAACCGGCGAAGATGCTCCATTAGGGGGGTCCACGTTTCGCAAGCGTAGAGAAGGGAGGGAATGACCGTGGCCGAGAAGACCTGAAGCTTAGTGCGGAGCGACAGACCAGGTAGCTTCCACACAGCGTTACGCAGCCGATGAGAAGATATTGCCGCTCGACTGATTCGGAGTGAGACCTCTGCTGTTAAACTGGAGCCAGTCATGAGCACACTGCCCAGGTATGGGAAACTCTCCACTCTCTCCACAACTGCCCCATCACCGATTGGGAGTTGTGGGGGTGGAGTGTCCGATGGTACAAAATACACAGGCTTAGATTTGGTGGGGCTGATGGTAAGGCCCTATCTCTTAGTGGCATGCTCCAAATATGGCATCTGTGCAGGACCGCCCTTTCATGAAACCGCATTGGGGCTCCGCAAGCCTCTCCTCAGCGTGCCTGGCAAGGCGATGTTGAATAATCCTTGCCAGGACCTTTCCCGGCACACTGAGGAGATGCCCCTGTAGTTGTTACAGTCTGTGCGGTCCCCCTTCTTAAAGAGGGGGACCACCAGGGCATCCTTCCAATCATGCGGAACCCGTCCAGTGGTCCAGACTGTTGTTATGATGTCATATAGGGCAGTCTGTGCACAAACACCACCCTCCCTCAGCATTTCGCTTGGGAGATCATCTCTGCCCGCTGCCTTTCCTGGTCTCAGACTCCGGATCGCCTTCAGTACTTCCTCAACAGATGGCACCTCAGCCAGCCACTCACAGGGGGTGACTTTTTCTTCCAATATTTGAGGCACTGCAGCCTCAGCAGGGTCATCCCCACTTTGTGCCACGAAGTTTTCCTGGCTGAGGGATTTCCCCTCCCCCAGGACCTCACAGAAATGCTCAGCAAATCTGCAAACCTGTTCCTGGGGGTCGGAGATTGAATCACCGTTTTTTCCCCTAATGATGGTAATAGGTGTGGCGCTGCAGGTTACTTTTTTGATGGAGTTAAATAGGGATTTGTGATCGCGGGCCACTGAGGCAGACTCTATCTCCTCAGCAACTCGCGACCACCACCCATCCTTGCAGCACCTCACGGCTCTCCGAACCTCCGAGCGAAGGCTGCGGTAAGCCTCCTCATTCTCTGACGTGGGATTCTGTAGCCGATGGCAGTGGGCCTGTCGCTTTTTCTCAACCATCCTGAACACCTCCTCTGTCAGCCAGGGTCTCTGGGGAGGTCTGGACCCCATACCCAAAGCAGCCATTGCAGCTGCATGAGTCACAGTCCTAAACCTAGCCCATTTACCCTCGACATCAGGAGTCGGGGACGATGCCAACCCCAGCCGCAAGCGATGATGAAATTCTCGCTCGCAACTTCCATCAGCTAGCTGAGACCAGGCCACCTTAGGTTGGAATGGGGTCCTGGGTGTACACCCACCACCGGAGTGGAAGAATGGCAGGCGCATCTTACAGATGACTAGTCGATGGTCAGAGGGCAGATCAGCTCCACGGTAGATCCTGGTGTCAAGGACATGGGCTCGCATCCGCTGGTCCGTCACTATGTAGTCCAGCAGATGTTCTTGCTTGGACCCGGCGTGCATCCATGATGTTGTGTGGATGCGCCGATGCCGGAACAGCGTGTCGGTAATTACAAGCCCATGGGCTGCACAAAAATCTAGCAGCCTCCTACCGTTGTTATTGAGCTGATCCGGCCCATGCCCTCCAATCACCCCAGACCAGGTGCCAGCATCATGACCAACTCGGGCATTGAAGTCACCCAACATGATGACTCTATCCCGAGGGGCCACTTTAGCCAGCACCTGTGACAGGAGGTCATAGAAGGCATCTGACTCATCGGCTTTGCCTGCATCCCTCCACGGATGTTCGTCTTCGGTGGGGGCATTAAGTAACCACGACCACCACTCCTCGCCTCCGGTTGATGGGAAGGCGAGCCCAAAGTAGCCTGGGGCTTACAGCTTCCCACGCCTGTGCTGCAATCAAAACGTGGAATGCTGTTATTTAATTTATTACTTTGTCTTAGTAGGTGGACTTCACCGAGAGAACCAACGAGGAATTCCTGCAGAAGAGCCACACCCAGAGGTGGGTGGGTGAGCGAATGTGTGAGTGAGCGTGTGTGTGGGTGAGTGTGTGGGTGGGTGAGTGTGTGGGTGGGTGAGTGAGTGGGTGGGTGAGTGGGTGGGTGAGTGTGTGGGTGAGTGTGTGGGTGAGTGTGTGAGCGTGTGTGGGTGGGTGGGTGTGTGGGTGAGTGTGTGGGTGGGTGAGTGTGTGGGTGGGTGACTGAGTGTGTGGGTGAGTGTGTGGGTGAGTGTGTGGGTGGGTGAGTGTGTGGGTGGGTGACTGAGTGTGTGGGTGAGTGTGTGGGTGAGTGTGTGGGTGGGTGAGTGAGTGTGTGGGTGAGTGTGTGGGTGAATGTGTGGGTGGGTGAGTGAGTGTGCGGGTGAGTGTGTGGGTGAGTGTGTGGGTGAGTAAGCGTGTGGGTGAGTGAGTGAGCGTGCGAGTGAGCGTGCGAGTGAGTGAGTGAGTGAGCGAGCGTTTGGGTGGGTGGGTGGGTGGGTGGGTGAGTGAGTGAGTGAGCGAGCGTGTGAGTGTGTGAGTGAGTAAGCGTGTGGGTGAGTGAATGAGTGAGTGTGCGAGTGAGTGAGAGGGTGAGCGTGTGGGTGAGTGAGTGAGTGAGTGTGTGAGTGGGTGAGTGAGTGAGTGAGTGTGTGAGCGTGCGAGTGAGTGAGTGAGCGTGTGAGTGAGTGGGTGAGCGTGTGGGTGAGTGAGTGTGTGAGTGAGTGTGTGAGTGAGTAAGCGTGTGGGTGGGTGAGTGAGCGTGCGAGTGAGTGAGCGAGCGTGCGAGTGAGTGAGCGGGTGAGCGTGTGGGTGAGTGAGTGAGAGGGTGAGCGTGCGGGTGAGTGAGTGAGTGGGTGAGTGAGTGAGTGTGCGGGTGAGCGGCTCACCGTGTGATGCTACAGAACTGCAGGGCAATGCGCTCGGGCATGGCCCAGTGGAGAGGGAAGAGCCGTCCGTACTTCTCCTCATACTCCAGCAGCTGACGCTTAGCCCACGCATAGCGGCGGTCAATCTTGTCCAGCCACGCCACCTACAGGGGTGGGTGGTGGGTGGGTGGTGAGTGGGTGGGTGAGTGGGTGAGTGGGTGGGTGGGTGGGTGAGTGGGTGGGTGGGTGGGTGAGTGAGTGGGTGAGTAGGTGAGTGGGTGAGTGAGTGGGTGAGTGGGTGAGTGGGTGGGTGAGTGAGTGGGTAGGTGGTGGGTGGGTGAGTGGGTGGGTGAGTGAGTGGGTAGGTGAGTGGGTGAGTGAGTGGGTGAGTGGGTGAGTGGGTAGGTGAGTGGGTGAGTGAGTGGGTGAGTGGGTGAGTGGGTGGGTGAGTGGGTGGGTGAGTGGGTGGGTGAGTGGGTGGGTAGGTGGTGGGTGGGTGAGTGGGTGGGTGAGTGGGTGGGTGGGTGAGTGGGTGAGTGGGTGGGTGGGTGGGTGAGTGGGTGGGTGGGTGAGTGGGTGGGTGGGTGGGTGAGTGAGTGGGTAAGTGGGTGGGTGAGTGAGTGGGTTGGTGAGTGGGTGGGTGAGTGGGTGGGTGGGTGAGTGAGTGGGTTGGCGAGTGGATGGGTTGGTGAGTGGGTGGGTGGTGTGTAGTAGTAAACATCGCCACTGGGGAGACAAAGGCGGCCGGGCGTGGTTGCTGGCCACCCACCCCCTCGTGTGCCGTTCCGGCCTTCATAGGTGATGCTCGCTAACAGCACTTGCCCCTACAGCCTGTTCAGCCTACACGGGAGATCTTTGTCTTTGTATTTGCGCGCAGTAGGGGACACGGATGGTGGTGCATTGATCAATCATCTCGGTCATCTCAGTCAGCCAAACCCATGCCACGGGCTGAGGTCTCACTCCGGACTGGATTGTGTGAGGAGCTCACAAATCCTTGAAAGATCTGGGCAGGGTCCCATCGGTGAGCTCCTCCGGCAGGCAAGGCTGCGATGGCTGGGTCATGTAGCCCGCATGCCCAGCCACCGCATGCCGAAACAGCTTTTGTTTGGCCGGATTGAGGGGGCTAAGTGGGCGCGGCACGGGCTAGAGAAGAGATGGAGTGACGTGGTACAGGAGGACGTGGAGCTGAGTGGACTTGCCGATGACTGGTACCAGCGGTGTCAAGATCGGCCTCTGTGGAGGAGGCTCGTGAAGGATGCTACTGGGCAGTTAGAGGCAGTCGCCCTCCAACAACAACGGAGGGCGGAGGAGCGACGCTCACAACAACGAGCGGAGCGCCGGGTGGCTAAAGCACAGCAGGTTGGCACAGTAGGGGGCACAGGTGGTGCATCAGCCACTCATCTCAGTCATCTCAGTCAGTCGACCCGTGGCACCTGGGTCTGCCCCGTGACCTCCTGCCAGCGGGCGTTCGACACTTCACGTGGCCTCAGGGTGCACATAGCCTGGCACAAGCGTCGTGGTGACGTCACCGCCACTTAGTAGTGAATGACGGTTGTTGTTGTGTTGTGTGTGTGTCTATGTATGTGTGTGTGTCTGTGTGTGTGTGTCTGTGTGTGTGTCTACGTGTGTGTCTGTGTGTGTCTGTGTGTATGTGTGTGTCTCTGTGTGTCTCTGTGTGTGTGTGTGTCTGTGTGTGTGGGGAGCGGTAGTGTAGTGGTTAGCGCTACGCTGCGCTATGAACCTGGCGACCCGGGTTCGATTCCCGCTCACGGCCAACACCAGTGACGATTATCTGAACCGGTCCCGGGCCTCCCCTAGGTCGACTCAGCCTCAAATGAGTACCTGGTGCGGTGTAAACATCGCCACTAGGGAGACAAAGGCGGTCGGGCGTGGTGCTGGCCACCCACCCCCTCGTGTACCGTTCCGGCCTTCATAGGTGCTCGCTAACAGCACTTGCCCCTACAGTCTGTTACAGGCTATACGGGGGATCTTTGTATCTTTGTTGTGTGTGTCTGTGTGTGTCTGTGTGTGTGTGTCTGTGTGTGTCTGTGTGAGTGTGTCTGTGTGTGTCTGTGTGTGTGTGTCTGTATGTGTGTCTGTGTGTGTGTGTGTCTGTGTGTGTCTGTGTGTCTGTGTGTGTCTCTGTGTGTCTGTGTGTGTGTGTGTCTGTGTGTGTGTGTGTCTGTGTGTGTGTCTGTGTGTGTGTCTGTGTGTGTGTGTCTGTGTGTGTGTGTGTGTCTGTGTGTGTGTGTCTGTGTGTGTGTGTGTACCTGTGTGTGTGTACCTGTGTGTGTGTCTGTGTGTGTGTGTGTGTCTGTGTGTGTCTGTGTGTGTCTGTGTGTATCTGTCTGTGTGTGTCTGTGTGTGTGTGTCTGTGTGTGTGTCTGTGTGTGTGTGTCTGTGTGTGTGTCTGTGTGTGTGTGTGACGTACGTCCTGGTTCTCCTGGAACAGGAGGAGATACTCAGAGAGGTGCTGTGTGATGAACTTGCGGATGATGTCGGAGCGGACGCGCGAGTCCAGAATGTCCGCCACCAGGCACGCATCACGGAGCACCAAACTGGGACCAGCTGGGCGCTGTAGAGACACAGCAGGTGGGTGGGTGGGTGTGTGGGTGGGTGAGTGGGTGAGTGGGTGAGTGAGTGAGTGGGTGAGTGGGTGGGTGGGTGAGGGGGTGAGGGGGTGGGTGGGTGGGTGAGTGGGTGGCTGGGAGGGTGAGTGGGTGGGTGAGTGGGTGGGAGGGTGAGTGGGTGGGTGAGTGTGTGGGAGGGTGAGTGGGTGGGTGAGTGGGTGGGTGGGTGAGTGAGTGGGTGGGTGGGTGGGTGAGTGGGTGGGTGGGTGGGTGAGTGGGTGAGTGTGTGGGAGGGTGGGTGGGTGAGTGAGTGGGTGGGTGGGTGGGAGGTTGGGTGGGAGGGTGGGTGGGAGGGTGGGTGGGAGGGTGGGTGGGTGGGTGGGTGGGTGGGTGGGAGGGTGGGTGGGAGGGTGGAAGGGTGGGTGGGAGGGTGGGTGGGTGGGTAGGTGGGTGAGTGGGTGGGTGAGTGGGTGAGTGGGTGGGTGGGTGGGTGAGTGAGTGAGTGAGCGGGTGGGTGGGTGGGAGGGTGGGTGGGTGGGTGGGAGGGTGGGTGGGTGGGTGAGTGGGATGGTGGGTGAGTGGGTGGGTGGGTGTGTGGGTGGATGAGTGGGTGAGTGGGTGGGATGGTGGGTGGGTGAGTGGGTGAGTGGGAGGGTGAGTGGGTGGGTGAGTGAGTGAGTGAGTGGGTGAGTGGGTGGGTGGGTGAGTGGGTGAGTGAGTGAGTGAGTGGGTGAGTGGGTGGGTGGGTGAGTGGGAGGGTGGGTGGGTGGGTGAGTGGGTGGGTGGGTGGGTGGGTGAGTGGGAGGGTGGGTGGGTGGGTGAGTGGGAGGGTGGGTGGGTGGGTGAGTGGGAGGGTGGGTGGGTGGGTGAGTGGGAGGGTGAATGGGTGGGTGGGTGAGTGGGAGGGTGGGTGGGTGGGTGGGTGAGTGGGAGGGTGGGTGGGTGGGTGGGTGGGTGGGAGGGTGGGTGGGTGGGGGGGTGGGTGGGTGGGTGGGTGGGAGGGTGGGTGGGTGGGTGGGTGGGTGTGTGGGAGGGTGGGTGGGTGGGTGGGAGGGTGGGTGGGTGGGTGGGAGGGTGGGTGGGTGGGTGGGTGGGAGGGTGGGTGGGTGGGTGGGAGGGTGGGGGGGTGGGTGGGTGGGTGGGAGGGTGGGAGGGTGGGTGGGTGGGTGGGAGGGTGGGAGGGTGGGTGGGTGGGTGGGAGGGTGGGTGGGAGGGTGGGTGAGTGAGTGGGTGGGTGGGTGAGTGGGTGAGTGAGCGAGTGGTGAGTGAGCGAGTGGTGAGTGAGCGAGTGGTGAGTGAGTGAGTGAGTGGCTGAGTGAGCGAGTGGAGTGTGAGTGGTGAGCAAGTGGTGAGTGGTGAGCGAGTGGTGGGTGAGTGGCTGAGTGAGCGAGTGGGTGAGTGAGTAGCTGAGTGAGTGGCTGAGTGAGCGAGTGGTGAGCGAGTGGTGAGTGAGTGGTGGGTGAGTGGTGATGCTACCTTTCCACCATGAGAGGGGAATGCTTCTTCAAAGTCGTTCAGGATCTGGGTTCCCAGCTCCGACTGCACAGCCCGCACCCTGAGACACGCACAGGCACAGGTACAAGTACAGGTCCCCCAGGTAGCCTAACACAGGGCTGTAGGGGCCAAGTGCTCTCAGTAGTGGGTAGCAGTGGCAACAAACTGGAACACTCTCGCACAAAGATCCCCCGTGTAGCCTTCACAGACTGTAGGGGCAAGCACTGTTGTCAACACCATCACCAACATCATCACCACCATCATTACCACCACCATCATCACCATCACCACCACCATTACCACCACCACCAACAACATCATCAACACCATCATCACCACCACCACCATCATCATCACCAACAACATCACCAACAACATCACCAACAACATCACCAACAACATCATCACCATCATCACCATCACCAACAACATCATCACCACCATCACCATCATCACCACCATCATTACCACCATCACCATCATCACCAACAACAACATCACCATCACCAACAACATCATCACCATCATCACCACCACCATCGCCATCACCACCACCATCACCAACAACATCATCACCATCATCACCACCACCATCACCATCACCACCATCACCACCACCACCATCACCACCACCACTGATGCCACCACCATCACCATCACCACCACCATCACCATCACCACCATCACCATCACCACCATCACCACCACCACCATCACCACCATCACCATCACCACCACCACCACCATCACCACCACCATCATCATCACCACCACCATCACCACCACCATCACCACCACCATCACCACCACCATCACCACCACCACCATCACCACCACCATCACCACCACCATCACCACCACCATCACCACCACCATCACCACCACCACCATCACCACCACCACCATCACCACCACCATCACCACCATCACCACCACCATCACCACCACCACCACCATCACCACCACCACGACCACCATCACCACCACCACCACCACCATCACCACCACCATCACCATCACCACCACCCCCACCATCACCACCACCACCATCACTACCACCACCACCACCATCACCACCACCATCACCACCACCACCACCACCATCACCACCACCATCACCACCACCACCACTGTCACCACCATCACCACCACCACCATCACCACCGTCACCACCACCACCCTCACCGTCACCACCACACCCCTCCCGGTGTGCCGTGAGTGCTGATTGTGGCTGGCCGCTCACCGCTCGTCCAGCTGCCGGATCTGGGGCACGGCGGTGTACTTGTGGAAGTGGTCCAGGACGTTGAGAACGCCGTGCAGCAAGTTACGGACGTCGCCATACTGTCTCCTGCAAGTCAGCGCCCTGCAGGTACACGGAGACAGACACACAGATACACACAGATACACACAGATATACACACACACAGACACACACACACAGATACACACAGACACACACACAGATACACACAGACACAAACACACACAGACACACACACACACACAGACACACACACAGACACACACACACAGATACACACACACACAGATACACACACACACAGATACACACACAGATACACACACACACACAGATACACACACACACACAGATACACACACACACACAGATACACACACACACACAGATACACACACACACACAGATACACACACACAGATACACACACACACAGATACACACACACATACACACACACAGATACACACACACACACAGATACACACACACAACAACCGCCATTCGCCACTAAGTGGCGGTGACGTCACCACGACGCTTGTGCCAGGCTATGTGCACCTTGAGGCCACGTGAAGTGTCGAACGCCTGCTGGCAGGAGGTCACTGGGCAGACCCAGCAGGTGCCACGGGTCGACTGACTGAGATGACTGGCTGATGCACCACCTGTGCCCCCTACTGTGCCAACCTGCTGTGCTTTAGCCACCCGGCGCTCCGCTCGTTGTTGTGAGCGTCGCTCCTCCGCCCTCCGTTGTTGTTGGAGGGCGACTGCCTCCAACTGCCCAGTAGCATCCTTCACGAGCCTCCTCTACAGAGGCCGATCTTGACACCGCTGGTACCAGTCATCGGCAAGTCCACTCAGCTCCACGTCCTCCTGTACCACATCACTCCATCTCTTCTCTAGCCCGTGCCGCGCCCGCTTAGCCCCCTCAATCCGGCCGAACAAAAGCTGTTTCGGCATGCGGTGGCTGGGCATGCGGGCTACATGACCCAGCCATCGCAGCCTTGCCTGCCGGAGGAGCTCACCGATGGGACCCTGCCCAGATCTTTCAAGGATTTGTGAGCTCCTCACACAATCCAGTCTGGTTAAACCCAGGATGAATCGTAGGCAGGCCAGCCTAAATGTTTCTAACCGGCGAAGATGTTCCATTAGGGGGGTCCACGTTTCGTAAGCGTAGAGAAGGGAGGGAATGACCGTGGCCGAGAAGACCTGAAGCTTAGTGCGGAGCGACAGACCAGGTAGCTTCCACACAGCGTTACGCAACCGATGAAAAGATATTGCCGCTCGACTGATTCGGAGTGAGACCTCTGCTGTTAAACTGGAGCCAGTCATAAGCACACTGCCCAGGTATGGGAAACTCTCCACTCTCTCCACAGATACACACACACACATACACACACATACACACACACAGATACACAGATACACACACACACAGATACACACACACACAGATACACACACATACACACACACAGATACACAGATACACACACACACAGATACACACACATACACACACACAGATACACAGATACACACACACAGATACACAGATACACACACAGATACACACACAGATACACACACACACACAGATACACACACACAGACACACACACACACAGATACACACACAGATACACACACAGATACACACACACAGACACACACACACAGATACACACACACAGATACACACACACAGATACACACACACACAGATACACACACACACAGATACACACACACACAGATACACACACACACAGATACACACAGATACACACACAGATACACACACGCACAGATACACACACACAGATACACACAGATACACACAGATACAGATACACACACACACGGATACATACACACACACACAGATACACAGATACACACACAGATACACACAGATACACACACACACACAGATATACAGATACACACAGATACACACAGATATACACAGATACACACACACAGATACACACACACAGATATACACACACACACAGATATACACACAGATACACATACAGATACACACACACACAGATACACAAAGACAGAGACACAGACACACAGACACACAGATACACAGACACACAGATACACACAGATACACACACAGATACACACAGACACACAGATACACACAGATGCACACAAATACACACATACACACACAGATACACACACACACAGATACACACACACACAGATACACACACACACACACTGAGTGAGTGAGTGAGTGTCTCAGTGAGTGAGTGAGTGTCTGAGTGAGTGAGTGTCTGAGTGAGTGAGTGTCTGAGTGAGTGAGTGTCTGAGCGAGTGAGTGTCTGAGCGAGTGAGTGTCTGAGCGAGTGAGTGTCTGAGTGAGTGAGTGTCTGAGTGAGTGAGTGTCTCAGTGAGTGAGTGAGTAAGTGTCTGAGTGAGTGAGTGTCTGAGTGAGTGAGTGTCTGAGTGAGTGAGTGTCTCAGTGAGTGAGTGAGTAAGTGTCTGAGTGAGTGAGTGTCTGAGTGAGTGAGTGTCTGAGTGAGTGAGTGTCTCAGTGAGTGAGTGAGTGTCTGAGTGAGTGAGTGTCTGAGCGAGTGAGTGTCTCAGTGAGTGAGTGAGTGAGTGTCTGAGTGAGTGAGTGTCTGAGTGAGTGAGTGTCTGAGTGAGTGAGTGTCTCAGTGAGTGTCTGAGTGAGTGAGTGAGTGTCTGAGTGAGTGAGTGAGTGTCTGAGCGAGTGTCTCAGCGAGTGAGTGTCTGAGCGAGTGTCTGAGTGTCTCAGTGAGTGTCTGAGTGAGTGAGTGAGTGTCTGAGCGAGTGTCTGAGTGTCTCAGTGAGTGAGTGAGTGAGTGTCTGAGCGAGTGTCTGAGTGTCTCAGTGAGTGTCTCAGCGAGTGAGAGTCTGAGCGAGTGAGTGAGTGTCTGAGTGAGTGTCTGAGCGAGTGTCTCAGTGAGTGTCTCAGCGAGTGAGTGAGTGAGTGTCTCAGCGAGTGAGTGTCTCAGTGAGTGTCTCAGCGAGTGAGTGAGTGAGTGTCTCAGTGAGTGAGTGAGTGTCTGAGTGTCTCAGCGAGTGAGTGAGTGAGTGTCTGAGCGAGTGTATCAGCATGTGTCTCAGTGAGTGTCTGAGTGAGTGAGTGAGTGTCTGAGTGTCTCAGTGAGTGTCTCAGTGAGTGAGTGAGTGAGTGTCTGAGCGAGTGTCTCAGCGAGTGAGTGAGTGTCTGAGTGAGTGAGTGAGTGTCTGAGTGTCTCAGTGAGTGTCTCAGTGAGTGAGTGAGTGTCTGAGCGAGTGTCTCAGCAAGTGTCTCAGTGAGTGTCTGAGTGAGTGAGTGAGTGTCTGAGTGTCTCAGTGAGTGTCTCAGTGAGTGAGTGAGTGAGTGTCTGAGCGAGTGTCTCAGCGAGTGAGTGAGTGAGTGTCTGAGTGAGTGAGTGAGTGTCTGAGTGTCTCAGTGAGTGTCTCAGCGAGTGAGTGAGTGAGTGTCTGAGTGAGTGTCTCAGTGAGTGTCTCAGTGAGTGTCTCAGTGAGTGTCTCAGTGAGTGAGTGTCTGAGTGAGTGTCTCAGTGAGTGAGTGTCTCAGTGAGTGAGTGTCTGAGCGAGTGTCTCAGTGAGTGAGTGTCTCAGCGAGTGAGTGTCTGAGCGAGTGTCTCAGCGAGTGAGTGAGTGAGTGTCTGAGTGAGTGTCTGAGCGAGTGAGTGTCTGAGTGTCTCAGCGAGTGAGTGAGTGTCTGAGCGAGTGTCTCAGCAAGTGTCTCAGTGAGTGTCTGAGTGAGTGAGTGTCTAAGTGTCTCAGTGAGTGTCTCAGCGAGTGAGTGAGTGAGTGAGTGTCTGAGCGAGTGTCTCAGCGAGTGAGTGTCTGAGCGAGTGAGTGAGTGTCTGAGTGTCTGAGTGAGTGTCTCAGTGAGTGAGTGAGTGTCTGAGTGAGTGTCTGAGTGAGTGTCTCAGTGAGTGAGTGTCTCAGTGAGTGAGTGTCTGAGCGAGTGTCCACTCACTCCAGCGAGTCCACGCCTCCCACCAGCATGTGGAGGTGATTCAGAGTGGTGATGGAGGTCGTGAGGTGACGCTTGGCGTGGTCCAGCTGTTTAATATCACGTGTGATCTCTTTCACCTACACACACAACATCAACAACATCAGTATACATCAACAACATCAACAACAACAACATCAACAACAACAACTACATCAACAACAACAACATCAACAACATCAATAACAACAACATCAATAACAACAACAACATCAACAACATTAACATCAACTACAACAACATCAACAACATCAACTACAACATCATCAACAACAACATCATCAACATCAACAACAACAACATCAACAACATCGTCAACAACAACAACATCAACTACAACAACATCAACAACATCAACTACAACAACATCAACTACAACAACATCAACATCATCAACAACATCAACTACAACAACATCAACAACAACATCAACTACAACAACATCAACAACAACATCAACTACAACAACAACTACAACAACAACATCAACAACATCATCAACAACATCAACAACATCAACAACAACAACAACATCAACAACATCAACAACAACAACATCATCAACAACATCAACAACATCAACAACAACAACATCAACAACAACAACATCAACAACAACATCAACAACAACATCAACAACAACATCAACAACAACAACAACATCAACAACATCATCAACAACATCAACAACATCAACAACAACATCAACAACAACATCATCAACAACATCAACAACATCAACAACATCAACAACAACAACATCAACAACAACAACATCATCAACTACAACAACATCAACAACAACATCAACTACAACAACATCAACAACAACAACATCAACTACAACATCAACAACAACATCAACAACATCAAAACAACAACAAAACAACATCATCAACAACAACATCAACAACATCATCAACAACAACATCAACAACAACAACAACTACAACAACATCAACAACAACAACAACTACAACATCAACAATATCAACAACATCAACAACATCAACAACAACAACATCAACAACATCAACAACATCAACAACAACATCAACTATAACAACATCAACAACATCAACTACAACAACAACATCAACTACAACAACATCAACAACAACATCAACAACAACAAAACAACAACAACAACAACATCAACAACAACATCAACAACATCAACAACATCAACAACAACATCAACTACAACATCAACAACAACAAAACAACATCAACAACATCAACAACAACAAAACAACAACAACTAAATTTTGATTTAAAGCTTTCGTGACTGCAGTAATTCATATTCTTAGTTTTTTCGGTAAAGTCACGTTGAAGAGAAACAACAAAATAATAAAATATATATAAAACAATAAAAAATTCTCACGACGTTTCGACCATAACTCAAACGGTCATCTTCAGGTGTGTTGGTTTGCATAAATTTATTTTTAAACGGCGCATTTATTTATTTATAAAAACGTTAGCGTCACGCGCAGCGATTTGGCAGTTTACCCAGGACTAGTCCATCTATATTCTGAAGAGGAGGGGGGAGACAACATCAACAACAACATCAACAACAACATCAACAACATCAACAACAACATCAACAACAACATCAACAACATCAACAACAACATCAACAACATCAACTACAACAACATCAACAACATCAACAACAACAACATCAACAACATCATCAACAACATCAACAACAACATCAACAACATCAACAACAACATCAACAACAACAACATCAACTACAACAACATCAACAACATCAACAACAACAACATCAACAACATCATCAACAACATCAACAACATCTACAACAACAACAACAACAACATCAACAACATCAACAACAACATCAACAACAACAACATCAACTACAACAACATCAACTACAACATCAACAACAACAACATCAACTACAACATCAACTACAACAACATCAACTACAACAACATCATCAACAACATCAACAACAACATCAACAACATCAACAACAACAACATCAACAACAACATCAACAACAACATCAACAACAACATCAACAACAACATCAACAACAACATCAACAACAACATCAACAACAACATCAACAACAACATCAACAACAACAACATCATCAACAACAACAAAAACAACATCAACAACAACAACATCAACAACAACATCAACAATAACAACATCATCAACAACAACAAAAACAACATCAACAACAACAACATCAACAACAACAACATCAACATCAACAACATCAACAACATCAACAACAACATCAACAACATCAACAACAACAACATCAACAACAACATCAACATCAACAACAACATCAACAACAACATCAACAAAGTCCCCCCGTATAGCCTGTAACAGACTGTAGGGGCAAGTGCCGTTGTTAGCGAGCACCTACAGCGAGGGGGGAAAAAAGTATTTGATCCCCTGCTGATGTTGTACGTTTGCCCCCTGACGAAGAAGTGATCAGGCTGTAACTTTAATGGGAGGTTTATTTGAACAGTGAGAGCCAGAATAACAACAACAAAAATCCAGAAAAACGCGCGTCAATAATGTTATGAATTGATTTGCATTTTAATGAGGGAGATAAGTATATAACCCCCTCTCAATCGGATGGATTTCAGGCTCCCAGGTGTCTTTTATACAGGTAACGGGCTGAGATTAGGACCGCCTTTGTCTCCCCGTACACACAACAACAACAACCGCCATTCGCCACTAAGTGGCGGTGACGTCACCACGACGCTTGTGCCAGGACATGTGCACCTTACACACACACACAAAACAAAGATCCCCCATATAGCCTTAACAGACTTAACAGACTGTAGGGGCAAGTACACACACACACAGGTACACACACACAGAGGTACACGCACACACAGGTATACACACACACACACGTACACACACACACACACACAGGTACACACACACACACACAGGTACACACACACACAGGTACACACACACAGTAACACACACACACAGGTACATACACACACACACAGGTACATACACACACACACAGGTACACACACACACACACAGGTACACACACACACAGGCACACACACACGCAGGTACACGCACACACGCAGGTACACGCACACACAGGTACACGCACACACACAGGTACACACACACAGGTACACACACACACACAGGTACACACACACAGGTACACGCACACACACAAGTACACACACACACATACATACACACAGGTACACACACACAGGTACATACACACACACATACATACACACACAGACATACACACAGGTACACACACACAGGTACACACACACACACAGGTACACACACATACACACACATACACACACAGGTACACACACACAGGTACACACACACACAGGTACACACACACAGGTCCACACACACACATACATACATACACACACAGGTACACACACACATACACACAGGTACACACAGGTACACACACATACACACACAGGTACACACACACACAGGTACACACACAGGTACACACACACACACACATACACACACAGGTACACACACACACAGGTACACACACATACACACACAGGTACACACACACACAGGTACACACACAGGTACACACACACACACACATACACAGGTACACACACACACATACACACACACAGGTACACACATACATACATACACACAGGTACACACATACATACATACACACACACATACACACACACAGGTACACACACAGGTACACATACACATACACACACACAGGTACACACACACACACAGGTACACACACACACACAGGTACACACACATACACATACACACACAGGTACACACATACACACACACAGGTACACACATACACACACACAGGTACACACACACACATACACAGGTACACACACACACATACATACACACAGGTACACACACGGTACACACACACAGGTACACACACACAGGTACACATACACACATACATACACACAGGTACACACACACAGGTACACACACACAGACACACACACACACAGGTACACACACACAGGTACACATACACACATACACACACATATACACACATACATACACACAGGTACACACACACACATACACACACATACACACAGGTACATACATACACACACATACATACACACAGGAACACACACACAGACACACAGACACACACACACACAGACACACACACACAGGTACATACACACACACACATACACACACACACAGGTACACACACAAAGGTACACACACACACACACACAGGTACACATACACACACATACATACACACACATACATACACACAGGTACACACACACAGACACACAGACACACACAGACACACACACACACAGGTACACACACAGTGACACACACACACAGGTATACACACAGACACACAGGTACACACAGGTACACACACAGGTACACACACAGACACACAGGTACACACACACACATACATACACACAGGTACACACACATACATACACACAGGTACACACACATACATACACACAGGTACACACACATACATACACACAGGTACACACATACATACATACACACAGGTACACACATACATACATACACACAGGTACACACACAGTGACACACACATACACACACACACAGGTACACACACACACACACACAGGTACACATACACACACATACACATACACACACACAGGTACACAGGTACACACACACACAGGTACACACACACAGGTACACGCACACACATACACACACAGACACACACACACACAGTGACACACACATACATACACACAGGTACACACACATACACATACACACACACATACATACACATACAGGTACACACACATACACATACACACACATACGTACACACAGGTACACACACACGCTGCTACCATCTCCTCTGAGCGTTCCGCTTTCTCTTTAATCTCCTTGATTTTGCCAAACAGCTGCTGGATGGCTCTCTGTGCCTCCTCCAGCGCCTGGGAGAGAGAGAACAGAGAGAGAGAGGGCAGAGAGTGGGTGGGTTAGTGGGTGGGTTAGTGGGTGGGTGGGTGAGTGAGTGAGTGGGTGAGTGAGTGAGTGGGTGGGTTAGTGAGTGGGTGAGTGGGTGGGTTAGTGAGTGGGTGGGTGGGTGAGTGGGTGGGTGGGTGAGTGATTGAGTGAATGAGTGAGTGAATGAGTGAATGAGTGAGTGAATGAGTGAGTGAATGAATGAATGAGTGAATGAGTGAGTGAATGAGTGAATGAATGAGTTAGTGAATGAGTGAATGAATGAGTGAATGAATGAGTGAATGAGTGAATGAGTGAGTGAATGAGTGAATGAATGAGTGAATGAGTGAGTGAATGAGTTAATGAATGAGTGAGTGAATGAGTGAATGAGTGAGTGAATGAGTGCATGAATGAGTGAATGAGTGAGTGAATGAGTGAATGAATGAGTGAGTGGGTGAGTGAATGAGTGGGTGAATGAGTGAATGAATGAGTGAATGAATGAGTGAATGAGTGAATGAATGAGTGAATGAGTGAATGAATGAGTGAATGAGTGAATGAATGAGTGAGTGAATGAGTTAGTGAATGAGTGAGTGAGTGAATGAGTGAGTGAATGAGTGAATGAGTGAGTGAATGAGTGAGTGAATGAATTAGTGAATGAGTGAGTGAATGAGTGAATGAGTGAGTGAATGAATGAATGAGTGAATGAGTGAGTGAATGAGTGAATGAATGAGTTAGTGAATGAGTGAATGAATGAGTGAATGAGTGAATGAGTGAGTGAATGAGTGAATGAATGAGTGAATGAGTGAGTGAATGAGTTAATGAATGAGTGAGTGAATGAGTGAATGAGTGAGTGAATGAGTGCATGAATGAGTGAATGAGTGAGTGAATGAGTGAATGAATGAGTGAGTGGGTGAGTGAATGAGTGAGTGAATGAATGAGTGAATGAGTGAATGAATGAGTGAATGAGTGAATGAATGAGTGAATGAGTGAATGAATGAGTGAATGAGTGAATGAATGAGTGAGTGAATGAGTTAGTGAATGAGTGAGTGAATGAATGAGTGAGTGAATGAGTGAGTGAATGAGTGAGTGAATGAGTGAGTGAATGAATTAGTGAATGAGTGAATGAGTGAGTGAATGAGTGAGTGAATGAGTGAGTGAATGAATGAGTGAGTGAATGAGTGAATGAATGAGTGAATGAGTGAATGAATGAGTGAATGAGTGAGTGAATGAGTGAGTGAATGAGTGAATGAATGAGCGAATGAGTGAGTGAATGAGTGAGTGAATGAGTGAGTGAATGAGTGAATGAGTGAGTGAATGAGTGAGTGAATGAATGAGTGAGTGAATGAGTGAGTGAATGAGTGAGTGAATGAGTGAGTGAGTGAGTGAATGAGTGAATGAGTGAGTGAATGAGTGAGTGAATGAGTGAGTGAATGAGTGAGTGTATGAATGAGTGAGTGAATGAGTGAGTGAATGAGTGAGTGAATGAGTGAATGAATGAATGAGTGAATGAATGAGTGAATGAGTGAGTGAATGAGTGAGTGAATGAGTGAATGAGTGAGTGAATGAGTGAGTGAATGAATGAGTGAATGAGTGAGTGAGTGGGTGGGTGAGTGAGTGAGTGAATGAGTGAGTGAATGAATGAGTGAATGAGTGAGTGAATGAGTGAATGAATGAGTCCTCACCTGCCGTCCGTCTTGCCCCACGTTGGTTTGACCGCGAACGACAACACGGATCTCCTCATCCAGCCTCCTGAGACGTGGGGACACACGGTGAGAGAGACACGGGGAGAGAGACACGGTGAGAGACACGGGGACACGGGGAGAGAGACACGGGGAGACACGGTGAGAGAGACACGGGGAGAGAGACACGGGGAGAGGGAGACACGGGGAGAGACACGGTGAGAGAGACACGGATCTCCTCATCCAGCCTCCTGAGACGTGGGGACACACGGGGGAGACACGGTGAGAGAGAGACACGGGGAGAGAGACACGGGGAGAGAGACACAGGGACACGGTGAGAGAGACACGGGGAGAGACACGGCGAGAGAGACGGGGAGAGACACGGGGAGAGAGACACGGGGAGAGAGACACGGGGAGAGAGACACGGGGAGAGAGACACAGAGACACGGGGAGAGAGACACGGGGAGAGAGACACGGGGAGAGAGACACAGAGACACGGGGAGAGAGACACGGGGAGAGACGGAGAGAGAGACACGGGGAGAGAGACACGGGGAGAGAGACACGGGGACACGGTGAGAGAAACACAGACAAGGAGAGAGACACGGGGAGAGAGAGACACGGGGAGAGAGACACGGGGAGAGAGACACGGGGGGAGAGACACGGGGAGAGAGACACGGGGAGAGAGACACGGGGAGAGAGACACGGGGAGAGACACGGGGAGAGACACGGGGAGAGACACGGGGAGAGAGACACGGGGAGAGAGACACGGGGAGAGACACGGGGAGAGAGACACGGGGAGAGAGACACGGGGAGAGAGACACGGGGAGAGAGACACGGGGAGAGAAAGACACGGGGAGAGAGACACGGGGAGAGAGACACGGGGACAGAGACACGGGGAGAGAGACACGGGGAGAGAGACACGGAGACAGAGACACAGAGACACAGGGAGAGAGACACGGGGAGAGAGACACGGGGAGAGAGACACGGGGAGAGAGACACGGGGAGAGAGACACGGGGAGAGAGACACGGAGTCAGAGACACGGGGAGTGAGACACGGAGTCAGAGACACAGAGACACAGGGAGAGAGACACGGGGAGAGAGACACGGGGAGAGAGACACAGCGACACGGGGAGAGAGACACGGGGAGAGAGACACGGGGAGAGAGACATGAAGACTGTGTACATGAGAGACAGATTGTGGCGAATGTGAATTCCTCACCGAATCTTCAGCCGGATTTTGCTGACAACTTCGTCAATGTTAGCGAGGGACTGGCGAGAGACAGAGACACACAGAGAGACACGGGGTGAGACAGACACAGAGAGACACACACAGAGACACACACAGAGACACACACAGTGAGACACACACAGAGACACAGAGAGACACAGTGAGACACAGAGACACACAGAGACACACAGTGAGACACAGAGAGACACACAGAGAGACACAGTGAGACACAGAGAGACATACACAGAGAGACACAGAGAGAGACACACAGTGAGACACAGAGACACACACAGAGAGACACAGAGAGACACAGAGACACACAGTGAGACACAGAGAGACACACAGAGAGACACACAGAGAGACACAGAGACACAGAGAGACACACACAGAGAGACACAGAGACACACAGTGAGACAGAGAGAGACACACAGAGAGACACACAGAGACACACACAGAGAGACACAGAGACACACAGTGAGACACAGAGAGACACACAGAGACACAGAGACACACAGAGAGACACACAGAGACACACACAGAGAGACACAGAGACACACAGAGAGACACAGAGAGACACACAGAGAGACGCACAGAGACACACACAGAGAGACACACAGACACACACAGAGACACACACAGTGAGACACACACAGTGAGACACACACAGTGAGACACACACAGTGAGACAGAGAGACACAGAGAGACACAGAGAGAGACAGAGAGAGACAGAGACACACAGAGAGACACAGAGACACACAGAGAGACATAGAGAGACACAGAGACACACAGAGAGACAGGCACAGAGAGAGACACGGGGTGAGACAGAGAGACACAGAGAGACACAGAGAGACACAGAGAGACACAGAGAAAGAGACACGGGGTGAGACAGAGAGACACAGAGAGACACAGAGAGACACAGAGAGACACAGAGAAAGAGACACAGAGAGAGACAGAGAGACACAGAGAGAGACACAGAGAGAGAGACACAGAGAGAGACAGAGAGACACAGAGACACACAGAGAGACACACAGAGAGACACAGAGACACACAGAGAGACACAGAGACACACAGAGACACGGGGTGAGACAGACACAGAGAGAGACACAGAGACACACAGACACACAGAGACACACAGAGAGACACAGAGACACACAGAGACACGGGGTGAGACAGACACAGAGAGAGACACAGAGACACACAGACACACAGAGACACACAGAGACACAGACAGAGACACACAGAGAGACAGAGACACAGACACACACACAGAGACACACAGAGACACACAGACACACACAGACACACAAAGACACCCAGAAACACACAGACACAGACACACAGAGACAGAGACACACACAGAGACACACACAGAGACACACAGAGACACACACAGAGACACACACAGAGACACACAGAGAGACACACAGAGACACAGAGACACACACAGAGACACACACAGAGACACACACAGAGACACACACAGAGACACACACAGAGACACACAGAGACACACAGAGACACAGAGAGAGACACAGAGACACAGAGACACACACAGAGACACACACACAGAGACACACACAGAGACACACACAGAGACACAGAGAGAGACACACAGAGACACACAGAGACACACAGAGACAGAGACACACAGAGACACACACAGAGACACACAGAGAGACACACACAGAGACACACAGAGACACACAGACACAGACACACAGAGACACACAGAGACACACAGAGACACACACAGAGACACACACAGAGACACACAGAGACACACAGAGACAGAGACACACACAGAGACACAGAGAGAGACACAGAGAGAGACACAGAGACACACACAGAGACACACACAGACACAGACACACAGAGACACACACAGAGACACACAGAGACACACAGAGACACAGAGACACAGAGACAGAGACACCCAGACACACAGAGACACAGAGAGACACACACACAGACACAGAGACACACAGAGACACAGAGAGACACAGAGACACACACAGAGACACAGAGACACACACAGAGACACACAGAGACACACAGAGACACAGAGAGACACAGAGACACACACAGAGACACAGAGACACACACAGAGACACACAGAGACACACAGAGACACAGACACACAGACACACACACAGAGACACACACAGAGACACACACAGACACACACAGAGACACACAGAGACACACAGAGACACAGACACACAGAGACACACACAGAGACACACACAGAGACACACAGAGACACACACAGAGACACACAGAGACACACAGAGACACAGAGACACACACAGAGACAGGAGACAGACACACAGAGACACACAGAGACACACACAGAGACACACACAGACACAGAGACACACACAGAGACACACACAGAGGCAGAGACACACACAGAGACCCACAGAGACACACAGAGACACACACAGAGATACCCAGACACACAGAGACACAGAGACACACAGAGACACACACAGAGACACACAGAGACAGACACAGAGACACCCAGACACACAGAGACACACACAGAGACACAGACACACACAGAGACACACACAGAGACACACACAGAGACACACACAGAGACAGACACACAGAGACACACACAGACACAGAGACACACACAGAGACACACACAGAGACAGAGACACACACAGAGACAGAGACACACACAGAGACCCACAGAGACACACAGAGACACACACAGAGACACCCAGACACACAGAGACACAGAGACACACAGAGACACACACACAGAGACACACAGAGACACCCAGACACACAGAGACACACAGAGACACACACACACAAAGACACAGAGAGACACACCCAGAGACACACAGAGACACAGACACACAGAGACACAGAGAGAGACACAGAGAGAGACACACACAGAGAGAGACAGAGACACACAGAGACACAGAGACACACAGAGACACACACAGAGACACACACAGAGACACACAGAGACAGAGATACAGAGACACAGAGAGAGACACACACAGACACACACAGAGAGACACAGAGACTCACAGAGACACACACACAGAGACAGGAGACGGACTGGAACCCACGCTAGTAGACTGAGGGGAGCGTCTCGATCCCAGCCAGCCTACGGTGATCTCAACCAGTCCCGGGGGCGTCCCCTAGGTCGACTCGGCCTCAAATCAACACGCGGTGCTAACGGCGGCGTAGCGAACGTCGCCCCTGGGGAGACAAAGGCGGCCGGGCGTGGCGCTGGCGACCCCATCCCCCTTCCGCTCGCTAACGGCACCACCCCCGACATTATTTTCGGGGAATCTTTGGCCTTGTCTCTAGTGCCTTGCAAGTTGCGTTGTTGAGTTGCGAATGTTAAACTCAACCAAGCTGAACGTTACCAGGGTGCAAGGCCACATTGCTGCTGCTGCTGCTGCTGCACGGGATCGAAGCCACGACCTCCTGCGTACCGGGCGAAGTAGTCAACATCCCTTGGTTAACAAGTATACAGCAGTAGGCATGGTCAGGGTTGGCATCGAACCTACGACCTCCTGTAGACCAGGCGAGGTGAGTGAGTGGGTGGGTGGGTGAGTGGGTGAGTGGGTGAGTGAGTGAGTGGGTGAGTGAGTGAGTGGGTGAGTGGGTGAGTGGGTGAGTGAGTGGGTGGGTGAGTGGGTGAGTGAGTTGGTGAGTGGGTGGGTGAGTGGGTGAGTGGGTGAGTGGGTGAGTGAGTGGGTGGGTGAGTGGGTGAGTGAGTTGGTGAGTGGGTGGGTGAGTGGGTGAGTGAGTGGGTGGGTGAGTGGATAAGTGAGTGAGTGGGTGAGTGGGTGGGTGAGTGAGTGGGTGGGTGGGTGAGTGGGTGGGTGAGTGAGTGGGTGAGTGGGTGAGTGGGTGAGTGAGTGAGTGAGTGGGTGGGTGAGTGGGTGAGTGAGTGGGTGAGTGAGTGAGTGAGTGGGTGAGTGGGTGAGTGAGTGGGTGGGTGAGTGACTGGGTGAGTGAGTGGGTGAGTGGGTGAGCGAGTGGGTGAGTGAGTGAGTAGTTGACTGAGTGGGTGAGTGAGTGAGTGAGTGGGTGACTGAGTGAGTGAGTGACAGAGTGAGTGAGTGACTGAGTGAGTGAGTGGGTGAGTGGGTGGGTGAGTGGGTGAGTAGTTGACTGAGTGGGTGAGTGAGTGAGTGGGTGAGTGTGTGAGTGAGTGGGTGAGTGAGTGAGTAGTTGACTGAGTGGGTGAGTGAGTGAGTGAGTGGGTGACTGAGTGAGTGAGTGAGTGACTGAGTGAGTGGGTGAGTGGGTGAGTGAGTGGGTGAGTGGGTGAGTGAGTGGGTGAGTGGGTGAATGAGTGAGTGGGTGAGTAGTTGACTGAGTGGGTGAGTGAGTGGGTGAGTGGGTGAGTGAGTGGGTGAGTGAGTGGGTGAGTGGGTGAGTGAGCGGGTGAGTGGGTGAGTGATTGAATGGTTGAGTGGGTGAGTGAGCCGGTGGGTGAGTGGGTGAGTGAGCGGGTGAGTGGGTGAGTGAGTGGGTGAGTGGGTGAGTGGGTGAGTGGGTGAGTGGGTGAGTGACTGAGTGAGTGGGTGAGTGAGTGGGTGAGTGAGTGGGTGAGTGTGTGAGTGAGTGAGTGGGTGAGTGAGTGAGTGAGTGGGTGAGTGAGTGAGTGGGTGAGTGAGTGGGTGGGTGAGTGAGTGGGTGAGTGAGTGAGTGGGTGAGTGAGTGAGTGGGTGAGTGGGTGAGTGAGTGGTGAGTGAGTGGGTGAGTGAGTGGCTGAGTGATTGAGTGGGTGAGTGAGTGAGTGAGGGGGTGAGTGATTGAGTGGGTGAGTGGGTGAGTGAGTGAGTGAGTGGGTGAGTGAGTAGTTGACTGAGTGAGTGGGTGAGTGAGTGGCTGAGTGAGTGAGTGAGTGGGTGAGTGAGTGACTGAGTTGGTGACTGAGTGGGTGAGTGGGCGAGGTAGTTAACATCTCCCAGCCACCGCTGCGTCTTCCGCCCTTGCCCCAGCAGCGCCGTGTGAGGCTACCCGGGGCGGCTTTGTCTGTGCCCTGTCACCTGCTCTGTGGGGAACAAGCTGTTGATGTAGTCCACCACGTTGAAGTCGCGCTGGTCCAGGGGATCCTGGCTAGGGAACACCTGGGCAGAGGGAAAACACACAGACGATGAGAGAGTGGTGGGTGGGTGAGGAGGTGGGTGGGTGGGTGAGGGGGTGGGTGGGTGAGGGGGTGGGTGGGTGAGTGGGTGGGGGGGTGGGTGGGTGGGTGAGGGGGTGGGTGGGTGAGGTGGTGGGTGTGTGTGTGGGTGGGTGTGTGGGTGGGTGAGGGGGTGGGTGGGTGGGGGGTTGAGGGGGTGGGTGTGTGTGGGGGTGTGTTGGGGCTGGGTGGGGGGGTGGGTGGGTGGGTGAGGGGGTGGGTGAGGGGGTGGGTGGGTGGGTGAGGGGGTGGGTGAGTGAGGGGGTGAGGGGGTGGGTGGGTGGGTGAGGGGGTGGGTGGGTGGGTGAGGGGGTGGGTGGGTGGGTGGGTGAGGGGGTGGGTGGGTGGGTGAGGGGGTGGGTGAGGGGGTGGGTGGGTGAGGGGGTGGGTGGGTGGGTGAGGGGGTGGGTGGGTGGGTGGGTGAGGGGGTGGGTGGGTGGGTGAGGGGGTGGGTGGGTGGGTGGGTGGGTGGGTGAGTGGGTGAGGGGGTGGGTGGGTGGGTGAGGGGGTGGGTGGGTGAGGGGGTGGGTGGGTGGGTGAGGGGGTGGGTGGGTGGGTGAGGGGGGGGGTGGGTGGGTGGGTGAGGGGGTGGGTGGGTGGGTGAGGGGGTGGGTGGGTGGGTGAGGGGGTGGGTGGGTGAGGGGGTGGGTGGGTGGGTGGGTGGGTGAGGGGGTGGGTGGGTGGGTGGGTGAGGGGGTGGGTGGGTGGGTGAGTGGGTGGGTGGGTGAGTGGGTGGGTGTGTGAGGGGGTGGGTGGGTGAGTGGGTGGGTGGGTGAGGGGTGGGTGGGTGGGTGGGTGAGTGGGTGGGTGGGTGAGGGGGTGGGTGGGTGGGTGAGGGGGTGGGTGGGTGGGTGGGTGAGGGGGTGGGTGGGTGGGTGGGTGAGGGGGTGGGTGGGTGGGTGGGTGAGGGGGTGGGTGGGTGGGTGGGTGAGGGGGTGGGTGGGTGGGTGAGGGGGTGGGTGGGTGGGTGTGGGAGGGGGGGGGTGGGTGGGTGGGTGAGGGGGTGGGTGGGTGGGTGGGTGAGGGGGTGGGTGGGTGGGTGAGGGGGTGGGTGGGTGAGGGGGTGGGTGGGTGAGTGTGTGGGTGGGTGGGTGAGGGGGTGGGTGGGTGAGGGGGTGGGTGAGGGGGTGAGGGGGTGGGTGGGTGAGGGGGTGGGTGGGTGGGTGGGGGGGGGGGGTGGGTGGGTGGGTGGGTGAGGGGGTGAGGGGGTGGGTGGGTGGGTGGGTGAGGGGGTGGGTGAGTGGGTGGGTGTGTGAGTGGGTGGGTGGGTGAGGGGGTGGGTGGGTGGGTGAGTGGGTGGGTGGGTGAGGGGGTGGGTGGGTGGGTGGGTGAGGGGGTGGGTGGGTGGGTGGGTGAGGGGGTGGGTGGGTGGGTGGGTGAGGGGGTGGGTGGGTGGGGGGGGGGGGTGGGGGGGTGGGTGGGGGGGGGGGGTGGGTGGGTGGGGGGGTGGGTGGGTGGGGGGGTGGGTGGGTGGGGGGGTGGGTGGGTGGAGGGGTGGGTGGGTGGGTGGGTGAGGGGGTGGGTGGGTGGGTGGGTGAGGGGGTGGGTGGGTGAGGGGGTGGGTGGGTGGGTGGGTGAGGGGGTGGGTGGGTGGGTGGGTGGGTGAGGGGTGGGTGGGTGGGTGGGTGAGGGGGTGGGTGGGTGGGTGGGTGAGGGGGTGAGGGGGTGGGTGGGTGGGTGGGTGAGGGGGTGGGTGGGTGGGTGGGTGAGGGGGTGGGTGGGTGGGTGAGTGGGTGGGTGGGTGGGTGAGGGGGTGGGTGGGTGAGGGGGTGGGTGGGTGGGTGGGTGGGTGGGTGGGTGGGTGGGTGGGTGAGGGGGTGGGTGAGTGGGGGGGTGAGGGGGTGGGTGGGTGGGTGGGTGAGGGGGTGGGTGGGTGGGTGGGTGAGGGGGTGGTGGGTGGGTGAGGGGTGGGTGGGTGGGGGGGTGGGTGGGTGGGTGGGTGAGGGGGTGGGTGGGTGGGTGGATGAGGGGGTGGGTGGGTGGGTGGATGAGGGGGTGGGTGGGTGGGTGGATGAGGGGGTGGGTGGGTGGGTGGATGAGGGGGTGGGTGGGTGGGGGGTGGGTGAGGGGTGGGTGAGTGGGTGGGTGAGGGGGTGGGTGGGTGGGTGGGTGAGGGGGTGGGTGGGTGAGGGGGTGGGTGGGTGGGTGAGGGGGTGGGTGGGTGAGGGGGTGGGTGGGTGGGTGAGGGGGTGGGTGGGTGGGTGGGTGAGGGGGTGGGTGGGTGGGTGGGTGGGTGAGGGGGTGGGTGGGTGGGTGAGGGGGTGGGTGGGTGGGTGGGGGGGTGGGTGGGTGGGTGGGTGAGGGGGTGGGTGGGTGGGTGAGGGGGTGGGTGGGTGGGTGGGTGAGTGGGGGGGTGGGTGGGTGGGTGAGGGGGTGGGTGGGTGGGTGGGTGAGGGGGGTGGGTGGGTGAGGGGGTGGGTGGGTGGGTGGGTGGGTGGGGGGGTGGGGGGGTGGGTGGGTGGGTGGGTGGGTGGGTGGGGGGGTGGGGGGGTGGGTGGGTGGGTGGGTGGGGGGGTGGGGGGGTGGGTGGGTGGGTGGGTGGGTGGGGGGGTGGGTGGGTGGGGGGTGGGTGGGTGGGGGGGTGGGTGGGTGGGTGGGTGGGTGGGTGGGGGGGTGGGTGGGTGGGGGGGTGGGTGGGTGGGTGGGGGGGTGGGTGGGTGGGTGGGGGGGTGGGTGGGTGGGGGGTGGGTGGGGGGTGGGTGGGTGGGTGGGTGGGTGGGGGGGTGGGTGGGTGGGTGGGTGGGTGGGTGGGGGGGTGGGTGGGTGGGGGGGTGGGTGAGTGGGTGAGCGAGTGGGTGGGCGAGTGAGTGGGTGAGTGAGTGGGTGAGTGAGTGGGCGACTGAGTGAGTGACTGAGTGACTGAGTGAGTGGGTGAGTGAGTGGGTGAGTGACTGAGTGAGTGGGTGAGTGAGTGGGTGGGTGAGTGGGTGAGTGAGTGGGTGAGTGACTGAGTGGGTGAGTGAGTGGGTGATTGAGCGGGTGGGTGAGTGGGTGAGTCACTGAGTGAGTGAGTGACTGAGTGAGTGAGTGACTGAGTGAGTGGATGAGTGAGTGAGTGGGTGACTGAGTGAGTAACTGAGTGAGTGGGTGACTGAGTGAGTGGGTGAGTGGATGAGTGAGTGACTGAGTGAGTGGGTGACTGAGTGACTAAGTGAGTGACTGAGTGAGTGACTGAGTGAGTGACTGAGTGACTGAGTGAGTGACTGAGTGAGTGACTGAGTGAGTGACTGAGTGAGTGGGTGAGTGACTGACTGAGTGACTGACTGAGTGACTGACTGGGTGACTGAGTAACTGCCTGAGTGACTGACTGACTGAGTGACTGACTGACTGATTGGTTCGGGGTGGGGGGTGGGGGGCCAACCCGGATGCTACCTCCGCGGGCATCCCTCGCACCCTCCCCGGCAGCGCCTCGCTAGACAAGACCGAGGCTCCACCCTCAACCCCGTAACCCGACTAGGCCCGAGCTCACCTGCTCGATCGCGCGCTCCACGTCAGGCGAGAACACGAGCAGCGCCCCGAGCTCCTCGTCGACCGCCAGGTCGGCGTCCTCCTCCTCCATCCTCCCGCGAGTCCCGAGGCTGCGTGGCTGGGGCGGCGGTGGCGGGAATCTCAAATCGCCTCACAAAACTGGGAAGGGGCTGACGAGAGAGAGATAGAGAGAGGGGTCACGTGACCGCCGGGAATCGATTCCTACGGCGTCGATTTTTTTGTGTTCTGTGGCGATCGGAAGAATCGGAATCGATTGAGGATATCGTATTGATTTTTAAAAAAAGTTACTTTACGTTATAAATTAAAGTTAAGAATGTTCACATTTGTAACTGATGACTGCGTAAGGAGGAATGCGATGGGGTGTGTTTAGCTATTTTTTTTTAACACGCGCGCGTGCGTGTGTGTCTGAGCGCGTGTGTGTTTGCGTGTGTGTGATCCTGTGTGTGTGTTCCTGTGTGTGTGTGTGTACCTGTGTGTGTGTACCTGTCTGTGTGTGTGTACCTGTGTGTGTGTACCTGTCTGTGTGTACCTATGTGTGTGTGTACCTGTGTGTGTACCTGTGTGTGTGTGTGTACCTGTGTATGTGTGTGTACCTGTGTATGTGTGTGTACCTGTGTGTGTGTGTACCTGTGTGTGTTCCTGTGTGTGTGTACCTGTGTGTGTGTACCTGTGTGTGTGTACCTGTGTGTGTGTGTGAGGATGACCCTGCTGAGGCTGCGGTGCCTCAAATATTGGAAGAAGTCACCCCCTGTGAGTGGCTGGCTGAGGTGCCATCTGCTGAGGAAGTATTGAGGGCGATCCGGAGTCTGAGACTAGGAAAGGCAGCGGGCAGAGATGATCTCCCAAGCGAAATGCTGAGGGAGGGTGGCGTTTGTGCACAGACTGCCCTATATGACATCATAACAACAGTCTCGACCACTGGACGGGTTCCGCAGGATTGGAAGGATGCCCTGGTGGTCCCCCTTTTTAAGAAGGGGGACCGCACAGACTGTAACAACTACAGGGGCATCTCACTCCTCAGTGTGCCGGGAAAGGTTCTGGCAAGGATTATTCAGCATCGCCTTGCCAGGCACGCTGAGGAGAGGCTTGCGGAGCCCCAAGGCGGTTTCAGGAAAGGGCGGTCCTGCACAGATGCCATATTTTCTGTCCGTCTGCTACAGCAGAGGTGTAGGGAATTCCAACAAGACCTACATCTCTGCTTTATTGACCTGGTCAAGGCCTGTGATACCATCAGTTGGCCTGGGCTCTGGATCGTTCTTCGTGATGGTCACGTGACAGACTCAGGTGACATGGGTTGACTTGTGTGCCAGGCTAGGTGCAGGTGGTGGTCACGTGACAGACCCAGGTGACATGGATTGACTGCTGTGCCAGGCTAGGTGCAGGAGGTCACGTGACAGACCCAGGTGACATGGATTGACTGCTGTGCCAGGCTAGGTGCAGGAGGTCACGTGACAGACCCAGGTGACATGGATTGACTGGTCCTGTGCCAGGCTAGGTGCAGGAGGTGGTCACGTGACAGACCCACGTGACATGGATTGACTGGTCCTGTGCCAGGCTAGGTGCAGGAGGTGGTCAAGTGACAGACCCACGTGACATGGATTGACTGGTCCTGTGCCAGGCTAGGTGCAGGTGGTGGTCACGTGACAGACCCACGTGACATGGGTTGACTGGTCCTGTGCCAGGCTAGGTGCATGAGGTGGTCACGTGACAGACCCACGTGACATGGATTGACTGGTCTGCCAGGCTAAGTGCAGGAGGTGACAGAACCACGTGACATGGATTGACTGGTCTGCCAGGCTAGGTGCAGGAGGTGGTCACGTGACAGATCCACGTGACATGGATTGACTGCTGTGCCAGGCTAGGTGCAGGTGGGGGTCACGTGACAGACCCACGTGACATGGATTGACTGGTGTGCCAGGCTAGGTGCAGGTCACGTGACAGACCCACGTGATATGTATTGACTGGTCCTGTGCCAGGCTAGGTGCAGGTGGTGGTCACGTGACAGACCCAGGTGACATGGATTGACTGGTCCTGTGCCAGGCTACGTGCAGGAGGTGGTCACGTGACAGACCCACGTGACATGGGTTGACTGCTGTGCCAGGCTAGGTGCAGGAGGTGGTCACGTGACAGACCCACGTGACATGGATTGACTGGTCCTGTGCCAGGCTAGGTGCAGGAGGTGGTCACGTGACAGACCCAGGTGACATGGGTTGACTGGTGTGCCAGGCTAGGTGCATGAGGTGGTCACGTGACAGACCCAGGTGACATGGACTGACTGGTCCTGTGCCAGGCTAGGTGCATGAGGTGGTCACGGGACAGACCCAGGTGACATGGGTTGACTGAGATGACTGGCTGATGCACCACCTGTGCCCCCTACTGTGCCAACCTGCTGTGCTTTATCCGCCCGGCGCTCCGCTCGTTGTTGTGAGCGTCGCTCCTCTGCCCTCCGCTGTTGCTGGAGGGCGACTGCCTCCAACTGCCCAGTAGCAGCGTCCTTCACCCACATGCTCACTCAACCACTCACCAACCCATCCTAAATCCCCCATTCACCCACCCATTCATTCATCCATTCACTCATTCATTCGCTCACCAACTCACCCACTCATTCACTCACCCATTCACTCATCCATCCGCTCACCCACGCACTCACGCATTCACTCACTCACCCATTCACCATTCCACCCACTCACTCATTCATTCGCCCATTCACTCACCCACCCATTCACCATTCCACCCACTCATTCATTCGCCCATTCACTCACCCACTCATCAACTCACTCACTCACCCACCCATTCACCATCCCACATACTCACTCATTCATTCACCCATTCACTCACCCACTCACTCACCCACCCATTCACCATTCCACCCACTCATTCATTCACCCATCCACTCACCCACTCACTCATCAACTCACTCACTCACCCACCCATTCACCATCCCACATACTCACTCATTCTTTCACCCATTCACTCACTCATTCACCATTCCACCCACTCACTCATTCATTCACCCATTCAATGACCCACCCATTCAACATCCCACCTACTCATTCATTCGCCCATTCACTCACCCACTCACTCATTCATTCACCCATTCAATGACCTACCCACTCATCAACTCACTCACTGACCCATCCACTCTCCCACACATTCACCATTCCACCTACTCACTCATTCACTCACCCATTCACCCACTCACTCAATCATTCACGCATTCAATGACCCACCCACTCATAAACTCACTCACTCACCCACTCACCCACCCATTCACCATCCCACCTACTCATTCATTCATTCACCCATTCATTCACCCACTCACTCACCCACCCATTCACCATCCCACCTACTCATTCATTCATTCACCCACTCACTCACCCACTCACTCACCCACTCACTCATCAACTCACTCACTCACCCGGTCATTCATTCACTGACCCACCCACCCAATGTAACACCACAAAGACAAAGATCCCCCGTGTAGCCGTGACAGACTGTAGGGGCAAGTGCTGTTAGCGAGCAGCACCTATGAAGGCCAGCAGCACCACGCCCGACCGCCTTTGTCTCCCCAGTGGCGATGTTTACCACTCCACCGACGCACCAGGTGACTCATTTTAGGCTGAGTCGACCTAGGTGAGACCCAGGGCCTGTTCAGAGAATCGTCGCTGCCCGTGGTGTCGGTGGCCGTGAGGTGCGGCGAGCGGTGAAGCGCTAACCGGTGCGCCACCACTCCCCACACCACCAACAACATCATCATCATCATCACCACCACCATCACCACCACCATCATCACCACCACCACCACCATCATCATCACCATCATCACCACCACCACCACATCACCACTACCACCATCACCACCACCACCACTCCCCACACTACCAACACCATCATCAACAACATTCACCATCACCACCACCACCACTAACATCATCACCATCATCACCATCATCACCACCACCACTAACATCATCACCATCATCACCATCACCACCACCACTAACATCATCACCGTCACCACCACCACCACTAACATCATCACCATCACCACCACCACTACCTTCATCACCACCACCACCACCATCACCACCACCATCGCCACCACCATCACCACTACCATCGCCACCACCATCACCATAACCACCATCATCACCATCATCCCCATCACCACCACCACCACCATCACCACCACCACCACCATCACCACCACCACCACCACCATCACCACCACCATCACCACCACCACCACCATCACCACCACCACCACCTACCACCACCACCACCTACCACCTACCATCACCACCACCTACCACTACCACCACCATCACCACCACCACCTACCATCACCACCACCACCTACCACCATCACCACCACCATCACCACCACCATCACCACCACCACCACCACCATCATCACCACCACCACCATCACCACCACCATCACCACCACCATCATCACCACCAGCACCACCACCATCACCATCACCACCACCATCACCATCACCACCATCACCACCAGCACCACCACCACCACCATCACCACCACCATCACCACCACCACCACCACCATCACCACCATCACCACCATCACCATCACCACCATCACCACCATCACCACCAAACTGCTCACGAGTCGTGTTTATTATTCACGTGGGGACGAGGAGATGAACACCCAACGCCTCGCGCGAGGGAGCAACGCTCTATCCCCCACACACGGACAGAGCAGATGGCGGTAAGTGCACACTCCCATCCACGTGCGATCCCCCAACCCCCCCCCCCCCCCACAGAATCTCCACCCTGTCACCGGGCGCTGGCGAATCAGCGAACGCCACACAGCGGTACCGGAGATTTACACCTTGCGGGGAACGTTGGTGATGATTGGCTTGGGCCTGGTCTTGAACAGCAGCTTGGTGTGAACGAGCGCCTGGACGAGGTATTGGGTGCGAACCGACGGCGTCACGTCTGAAACACAACGGAGCGTCGCCTGTGTGAGTGAGTCTATGGGTCTCTGTGTGAGTGAGTCTGTGGGTGTCTGTGTGAGTGAGTCTGTGGGTCTCTGTGTGAGTGAGTCTATGGGTCTCTGTGTGGTGAGTCTGTGGGTGTCTGTGTGAGTGAGTCTGTGGGTCTCTGTGTGAGTGAGTCTATGGGTCTCTGTGTGAGTGAGTCTATGGGTCTCTGTGTGAGTGAGTCTATGGGTCTCTGTGTGGTGAGTCTGTGGGTGTCTGTGTGAGTGAGTCTATGGGTCTCTGTGTGAGTGAGTCTATGGGTCTCTGTGTGAGTGAGTCTATGGGTCTCTGTGTGAGTGAGTCTATGGGTCTCTGTGTGGTGAGTCTGTGGGTGTCTGTGTGAGTGAGTCTATGGGTCTCTGTGTGAGTGAGTCTGTGGGTCTCTGTGCGAGTGAGTCTATGGGTCTCTGTGTGAGTGAGTCTGTGGGTCTCTGTGTGAGTGAGTCTGTGGGTCTCTGTGTGAGTGAGTCTGTGGGTCTCTGTGTGAGTGAGTCTGTGGGTCTCTGTAGTGAGGTGAGTCTATGGGTGTCTGTGTGTGGTGAGTCTGTGGGTCTCTCTGTGTGAGTGAGTCTGTGGGTCTCTGTGTGAGTGAGCCTATGGGTCTCTTTGTGAGTGAGTCTGTGGGCCTCTGTGTGAGTGAGTCTATGGGTCTCTGTGTGTGGTGAGTCTGTGGGTCTCTGTGTGAGTGAGTCTATGGGTGTCTGTGTGAGTGAGTCTATGGGTGTCTGTGTGAGTGAGTCTATGGGTCTCTGTGTGTGGTGAGTCTGTGGGTCTCTGTGTGAGTGAGTCTATGGGTCTCTGTGTGTGAGTGAGTCTATGGGTCTCTGTGTGAGTGAGTCTATGGGTCTCTGTGTGAGTGAGTCTATGGGTGTCTGTGTGAGTGAGTCTATGGGTCTCTGTGTGAGTGAGTCTGTGGGTCTCTCTGTGTGAGTGAGTTTATGGGTCTCTGTGTGAGTGAGTCTGTGGGTCTCTGTGTGAGTGAGTCTATGGGTCTCTGTGCGAGTCTATGGGTCTCTGTGTGAGTGAGTCTATGGGTCTCTGTGTGAGTGAGTTTGTGGGTCTCTGTGTGAGTGAGTCTGTGGGTCTCTCTGTGTGAGTGAGTCTGTGGGTCTCTGTGTGAGTCTATTGGTCTCTGTGTGAGTGAGTCTATGGGTCTCTGTGTGAGTGAGTCTGTGGGTCTCTGTGTGAGTGAGTCTGTGGGTCTCTGTGTGAGTGAGTCTGTGGGTCTCTGTGTGAGTGAGTCTATGGGTCTCTGTGTGAGTGAGTCTATGGGTCTCTGTGTGAGTGAGTCTATGGGTGTCTGTGTGAGTGAGTCTATGGGTCTCTGTGTGAGTGAGTCTATGGGTCTCTGTGTGAGTGAGTCTATGCGTCTCTGTGTCAGTGAGTTCTGTGGGTCTCTGTGTGAGTGAGTCTATGGGTCTCTGTGTGGTGAGTCTATGGGTGTCTGTGTGAGTGAGTCTATGGGTCTCTGTGTGAGTGAGTCTATGGGTGTCTGTGTGAGTGAGTCTATGGGTCTCTGTGTGAGTGAGTCTATGGGTCTCTGTGTGAGTGAGTCTGTGGGTCTCTGTGTGAGGAGTCTATGGGTCTCTGTGTGAGTGAGTCTGTGGGTCTCTGTGTGAGTGAGTCTGTGGGTCTCTCTGTGTGAGTGAGTCTATGGGTCTCTGTGTGGTGAGTCTATGGGTGTCTGTGTGAGTGAGTCTATGGGTCTCTCTGTGTGAGTGAGTCTGTGGATCTCTCTGTGTGAGTGAGTCTATGGGTCTCTGTGTGAGTGAGTCTATGGGTCTCTGTGTGAGTGAGTCTGTGGGTCTCTGTGTGAGTGAGTCTATGGGTCTCTGTGTGGTGAGTCTATGGGTGTCTGTGTGAGTGAGTCTATGGGTCTCTGTGTGAGTGAGTCTATGGGTCTCTGTGTGAGTGAGTCTGTGGGTCTCTCTGTGTGAGTGAGTCTATGGGTCTCTGTGTGAGTGAGTCTGTGGGTGTCTGTGTGAGTGATTCTATGGGTCTCTGTGTGAGTGAGTCTGTGGGTCTCTCTGTGTGAGTGAGTCTATGGGTCTCTGTGTGAGTGAGTCTATGGGTCTCTGTGTGAGTGAGTCTATGGGTCTCTGTGTGAGTGAGTCTGTGGGTCTCTGTGTGAGTGAGTCTATGGGTCTCTGTGTGAGTGAGTCTGTGGGTCTCTCTGTGTGAGTGAGTCTATGGGTCTCTGTGTGATTGAGTCTATGGGTCTCTGTGTGAGTGAGTCTATGGGTCTCTGTGTGAGTGAGTCTGTGGGTGTCTGTGTGAGTGAGTCTATGGGTCTCTGTGTGAGTGAGTCTATGGGTCTCTGTGTGAGTGAGTCTATGGGTCTCTGTGTGAGTGAGTCTATGGGTCTCTGTGTGGTGAGTCTGTGGGTGTCTGTGTGAGTGAGTCTATGGGTCTCTGTGTGAGTGAGTCTGTGGGTCTCTGTGCGAGTGAGTCTATGGGTCTCTGTGTGAGTGAGTCTGTGGGTCTCTGTGTGAGTGAGTCTGTGGGTCTCTGTGTGAGTGAGTCTGTGGGTCTCTGTGTGAGTGAGTCTGTGGGTCTCTGTGTGAGTGAGTCTATGGGTGTCTGTGTGTGGTGAGTCTGTGGGTCTCTCTGTGTGAGTGAGTCTGTGGGTCTCTGTGTGAGTGAGCCTATGGGTCTCTTTGTGAGTGAGTCTGTGGGCCTCTGTGTGAGTGAGTCTATGGGTCTCTGTGTGTGGTGAGTCTGTGGGTCTCTGTGTGAGTGAGTCTATGGGTGTCTGTGTGAGTGAGTCTATGGGTGTCTGTGTGAGTGAGTCTATGGGTCTCTGTGTGTGGTGAGTCTGTGGGTCTCTGTGTGAGTGAGTCTATGGGTCTCTGTGTGTGAGTGAGTCTATGGGTCTCTGTGTGAGTGAGTCTATGGGTCTCTGTGTGAGTGAGTCTATGGGTGTCTGTGTGAGTGAGTCTATGGGGTCTCTGTGTGAGTGAGTCTGTGGGTCTCTCTGTGTGAGTGAGTTTATGGGTCTCTGTGTGAGTGAGTCTGTGGGTCTCTGTGTGAGTGAGTCTATGGGTCTCTGTGCGAGTCTATGGGTCTCTGTGTGAGTGAGTCTATGGGTCTCTGTGTGAGTGAGTTTGTGGGTCTCTGTGTGAGTGAGTCTGTGGGTCTCTCTGTGTGAGTGAGTCTGTGGGTCTCTGTGTGAGTCTATGGGTCTCTGTGTGAGTGAGTCTATGGGTCTCTGTGTGAGTGAGTCTGTGGGTCTCTGTGTGAGTGAGTCTGTGGGTCTCTGTGTGAGTGAGTCTGTGGGTCTCTGTGTGAGTGAGTCTATGGGTCTCTGTGTGAGTGAGTCTATGGGTCTCTGTGTGAGTGAGTCTATGGGTGTCTGTGTGAGTGAGTCTATGGGTCTCTGTGTGAGTGAGTCTATGGGTCTCTGTGTGAGTGAGTCTATGGGTCTCTATGTGAGTGAGTCTGTGGGTCTCTGTGTGAGTGAGTCTATGGGTCTCTGTGTGGTGAGTCTATGGGTGTCTGTGTGAGTGAGTCTATGGGTCTCTGTGTGAGTGAGTCTATGGGTGTCTGTGTGAGTGAGTCTATGGGTCTCTGTGTGAGTGAGTCTATGGGTCTCTGTGTGAGTGAGTCTGTGGGTCTCTGTGTGAGTGACTCTATGGGTCACTGTGTGAGTGAGTCTGTGGGTCTCTGTGTGAGTGAGTCTGTGGGTCTCTCTGTGTGAGTGAGTCTATGGGTCTCTGTGTGGTGAGTCTATGGGTGTCTGTGTGAGTGAGTCTATGGGTCTCTCTGTGTGAGTGAGTCTGTGGATCTCTCTGTGTGAGTGAGTCTATGGGTCTCTGTGTGAGTGAGTCTATGGGTCTCTGTGTGAGTGAGTCTGTGGGTCTCTGTGTGAGTGAGTCTATGGGTCTCTGTGTGGTGAGTCTATGGGTGTCTGTGTGAGTGAGTCTATGGGTCTCTGTGTGAGTGAGTCTATGGGGTCTCTGTGTGATTGAGTCTGTGGGTCTCTCTGTGTGAGTGAGTCTATGGGTCTCTGTGTGAGTGAGTCTGTGGGTGTCTGTGTGAGTGATTCTATGGGTCTCTGTGTGAGTGAGTCTGTGGGTCTCTCTGTGTGAGTGAGTCTATGGGTCTCTGTGTGAGTGAGTCTATGGGTCTCTGTGTGAGTGAGTCTATGGGTCTCTGTGTGAGTGAGTCTGTGGGTCTCTGTGTGAGTGAGTCTATGGGTCTCTGTGTGAGTGAGTCTGTGGGTCTCTCTGTGTGAGTGAGTCTATGGGTCTCTGTGTGATTGAGTCTATGGGTCTCTGTGTGAGTGAGTCTATGGGTCTCTGTGTGAGTGAGTCTGTGGGACTCTGTGTGAGTGAGTCTGTGGGACTCTGTGTGAGTGAGTCTATGGGTCTCTGTGTGAGTGAGTCTATTGGTCTCTGTGTGAGTGAGTCTATGGGTCTCTGTGTGAGTGAGTCTGTGGGTCTCTGTGTGAGTGAGTCTATGGGTCTCTGTGTGAGTGAGTCTGTGGGTCCTCTGTGGTGAGTGAGTCTATGGGTCTCTGTGTGAGTGAGTCTATGGGTCTCTGTGTAAGTGAGTCTATGGGTCTCTGTGTGAGTGAGTCTATGGGTCTCTGTGTGAGTGAGTCTATGGGTCTCTCTGTGAGTGAGTCTGTGGGTCTCTCTGTGTGAGTGAGTCTATGGGTCTCTGTGTGAGTGAGTCTATGGGTCTCAGTGTGAGTGAGTCTGTGGGTCTGTGTGAGTGAGTCTATGGGTCTCTGTGTGAGTCTATGGGTCTCTGTGTGAGTGAGTCTGTGGGTCTCTCTGTGTGAGTGAGTCTGTGGGTCTCTCTGTGTGAGTGGAGTCTGTGGGTCCTCTGTGTGAGTGAGTCCTGTGGGTCTCTGTGTGAGTCTATGGGTCTCTGTGTGAGTCTATGGGTCTCTGTGTGAGTGAGTCTATGGGGTCTCTGTGTGAGTGAGTCTATGGGTCTCTGTGTGAGTGAGTCTGTGGGTCTCTGTGTGAGTGAGTCTGTGGGTCTCTATGTGAGTGAGTCTATGGGTCTCTGTGTGAGTGAGTCTATGGGTCTCTGTGTGAGTGAGTCTATGGGTCTCTGTGTGAGTGAGTCTATGGGTCTCTGTGTGGTGAGTCTATGGGTCTCTGTGTGGTGAGTCTATCGGTCTCTGTGTGAGTGAGTCTATGGGTCTCTGTGTGAGTGAGTCTATGGGTCTCTGTGTGAGAGAGTCTATGGTCTCTGTGCGAGTGAGTCTATGGGTCTCTGTGTGAGTGAGTCTATGGGTCTCTGTGTGAGCGAGTCTATGGGTCCTCTGTGTGAGAGAGTCTATGGGTCTCTGTGTGAGTGAGTCTATGTTTCTCTGTGTGAGTGAGTCTATGGGTCTCTGCGTGAGTGAGTCTATGGGTCTCTGTGTGAGTGAGTCTGTGGGTCTCTGTGTGAGTGAGTCTATGGGTCTCTGTGTGAGTGAGTCTGTGGGTCTCTGTGTGAGTGAGTCTGTGGGTCTCTGTGTGAGTGAGTCTATGGGTCTCTGTGTGAGTGAGTCTGTGGGCCTCTGTGTGAGTGAGTCTATGGGTCTCTGTGTGAGTGAATCTATGGGTCTCTGTGTGAGTGAGTCTATGGGTCTCTGTGTGAGTGAGTCTGTGGGTCTCTGTGTGAGTGAGTCTGTGGGTCTCTGTGTGAGTGAGTCTGTGGGTCTCTGTGTGAGTGAGTCTATGGGTCTCTGTGAGTGAGTGAGTCTATGGGTCTCTGTGTGAGTGAGTCTATGGGTCTCTGTGTGAGTGAGTCTATGGGTCTCTGTGTGGTGAGTCTATGGGTCTCTGTGTGGTGAGTCTATGGGTCTCTGTGTGAGTGAGTCTATGGGTCTCTGTGTGAGCGAGTCTATGGGTCTCTGTGTGAGCGAGTCTATGGGTCTCTGTGTGAGTGAGTCTATGTTTCTCTGTGTGAGTGAGTCTATGGGTCTCTGCGTGAGTGAGTCTATGGGTCTCTGTGTGAGTGAGTCTATGGGTCTCTGTGTGAGTGAGTCTATGGGTCTCTGTGTGAGTGAGTCTATGGCTCTCTGTGATTTTGCTTTGCGAACCCGTTGAGTTCAGCTCAGGATGTGCATCCATCTCTTCCTGCTGATGCTGCTGCTGCTGATGCTGCTGATGCTGCTGATGCTGTTGCTTCACCAATACAGCTAAGGGCTTATCCAGGCTCACCACTTTGCCGTAGAGGATGTGATGACCAATGATGAGAACCGGGATACCCTGTTCAGAGACACAGCGAGAGACAGATACACGTACACACACACACTCACACTCAGTCACTCACACTCACACTCACTCACTCACACTCACACTCACTCACACTCACTCACACACTCACTCACACACTCACTCACTCACACACACTCACACTCACTCACACTCACTCACACACTCACTCACACACTCACACACACACACTCACTCACTCTCACTCACTCACACGCACACACTCACTCACACTCACTCACTCACACACTCACTCACACTCACTCACTCACACACACACTCACACACTCACACACTCACTCACACTCACTCACTCACACACTCACTCACTCACACACGCACACACACACACACTCACTCACACTCACTCACTAACTCACACACACTCACACTCACTCACTCACACACACTCACACTCACTCACTCACACTCACTCACACACTCACACTCACTCACACACTCACTCACTCATACACACACTCACACTCGCTCACACTCACACTCACTCACTCACACACTCACTCACACTCACTCACACTCACACACTCACTCACCCACACACTCACACACTCACACACACTCACACACTCACTCACACTCACTCTCTCACACACTCACACCCACCCACTCACCCTCCCACCCACTCACCCACTCACACACCCAACCACCCTCCCACCCACTCACCCACCCACACACCCACCCACTCACCCACCCACCCTCCCACCCACTCACCCACCCACCCACTCACCCACCCATCCTCCCACCCCCTCACCCACTCACACACCCACCCACCCTCCCACCCACTCCCCACCCACACACCCACCCACTCACCCACCCACCCTCCCACCCACTCACCCACCCACCCACTCACCCACCCACCCACTCACCCACCCACCCACACACCCACCCACCCACCCTCCCACCCACTCACCCACCCATCCACACACCCACCCACCCTTCCACCCACCCACTCACCCACCCTCCCACCCACCCTACCACCCACTCAAACACCCACTCACCCACTCACCCACCTACCCACTCACCCCACCCACACACCCACCCACCTACCCATCCACTCACTCACCCTCCCACCCACCTACACACCCACTCACCCACCCTCCCACCCACCCACCCACCCTCCCACCCACCCACCCACTCACTCTCCCACCCACCCACACTCCCACCCACTCACCCTCCCACCCTCCCACCCACCACACCCACTCACCCACCCACCCACCCATCCTCCCACCCCACCCATCCTCCCACCCACTCACCCACCCACCCCCTCACCCACTCACTCACCTACCCACCCACCCACCCCACTCACCCACCCACTCACCCACCCACCCACTCACTCACCCACCCACTCACTCACTCACCCACTCCCTTACCCACTCACTCACTCACCCACCCACCCCCCCACCCACCCTCCCACCCACCCACCCTCCCACCCACCCACCCTCCCACTCACCCACCCACCCTCCCACCCACCCACCCACTCACCCTCCCACCCACTCACACACCCACCCTCCCACCCACTCACCCACCCTCCCACTCACCCACCCTCCCACTCACCCACCCTCCCACCCACCCACCCTCCCACCCACCCACCCACCCTCCCACCCACCCACCCTCCCACCCACCCTCCCACCCACCCACTCACCCCACCCACCTACTCACCCACTCACCCACCTATATCACCCACCCATCACCCACCCACTCACCCACCCACCCACTCACCCACTCACCCACCCACCCACTCACCCACCCACCCACTCACCCACCCACCCACCCACTCACCCACCCACCCACCCACTCACCCACCCACCCACTCACCCACCCACCCTCCAACCCACTCACCCACCCACCCTCCCCACCCACTCACCCACTCACCCACCCTCCCACCCACTCACCCACCCACTCACCCACCACCCACTCACCCCACCCACCTCACCCTCCCACCCCACCCACCCACCCACCCTCCCACCCTCCCACCCACCCACCCTTCCACCCTCCCACCCACCCTCCCACCCTCCACCCCACCCTCCCACCCTCCCACCCACCCTCCCACCCCACCCACCCACTCACCCACCCACCCTCCCACCCTCTCCACCCACCCACCCTTCCACCCTCCCACCCACCCCACCCTCCCACCCTCCCACCCCACCCTCCCTCCCACCCACCCATCCACCCACCCACTCACTCACCCACCCACTCACTCACCCACCCACCCTCCCCACCCACCCACTCACCCACCCACCCACCCTCCCACCCACTCACCCACCCTCCCACCCACTCACCCACCCACCCACTCACCCACTCACTCACTCACCCACCCCCTCACCCACTCACCACCCACTCACCCACCCACTCACCCTCCCACCCACCCACTCACCCACCCACTCACCCACTCACTCACTCACCCACTCACCCACCCACCCACTCACCCACCCACCCACTCACACCATCACTCACCCTTCCCACCCACTCACGTCACGTGTGTAGTGGAGGTCTCCCAGGGTAGCCGACTGCAGGCCTCCTCCACCGCGAGGCACCACGTGACCCTGCAGCTCCACCAGCAGCCAATCCTCGTCCAGGCCCCGCCTGCCCACTGCCATGGCCCATCACAGGGGAACGTCACAGAGACAGCTGCCACTGGGGGTGCCCCTAGGCCTACAGCACCACACAGCAGACTCACACACAGAGACAGCTGCCACTGGGGGTGCCCCTAGACTACAGCACCACACAGCAGCTACCCCTACAGACACACAGAGACAGCTGCCACTGGGGGTGCCCCTAGAGCTACAGCACCACACAGCAGACTCACACACAGGGGCAGCTGTCACTGGGGGTGCCCCTAGACTACAGCACCACACAGCAGCTACCCCTACTAACAGACAGGGACAGCTGCCACTGGGGGTGCCCCTAGGGCTACAGCACCACACAGCACCACACAGCAGACTCACACACAGGGACAGCTGCCACTGGGGGTGTCCTCTAGGGCTACAGCAATACACAGCAGACTCACACACAGGGGCAGCTGTCACTGGGGGTGCCCCCTAGGGCTACAGCACCACACAGCACCACACAGCAGACTCACACACAGGGACAGCTGCCACTGGGGGTGTCCTCTAGAGCTACAGCACCACACAGCAGACTCACACACAGAGACAGCTGTCACTGGGGGTGCCCCTAGGGCTACAGCACCACACAGCAGCAGACTCACACACAGGGACAGCTGCCACTGGGGGTGTCCTCTAGGGCTACAGCACCACACAGCAGACTCACACACAGAGACAGCTGTCACTGGGGGTGCCCCTAGGGCTACAGCACCACACAGCAGCAGACTCACACACAGGGACAGCTGTCACTGGGGGTGCCCCCTAGACTACAGCACCACACAACAGCTACCCCTACTGACACACAGGGACAGCTGTCACTGGGGGTGCCCCTAGGGCTACAGCACCACACAGCAACAGCAGACTCACACAGGGACAGCTGCCACTGGGGGTGCCCCTAGGGCTACAGACATCGATCAGGTTGGAGGTAATTACGTCATTATTATTCAGAAGCACGTGGGGGGTGGGGGGGGGTGGGGGGTTGGGGGGGGTGTCCCTTTGTGACCGTCACAGACTCACGCGCTCACGAGGATCTGCACCATGGCCGCTGCTCCTGCCGAGTGTCACTGCGTCACTGCGTACGTCACTGCGTGCGCACTGTGTGTGTGTGTGTGTCACTAGTGTGTGTGTCATCTGTGTGTGTGTGTTTTACTTGTGTGTTGTCACTGTGTTGTGTGTGTTACTGTGTGTGTGCTCCACTGTGTGTGTGTGTTTACTGTAGTGTATGTGTCACTGTGTGTGTGTGTCAGTTGTGTGTGTGTGTCAGTGTGTGTGTGTGTGTCACTTGGTGTGTCACTGTGATGTGAGTCACTGTGTGTGTAAGTGTACTGTGTGTGTCGTCACTGTGTCGTGTCACTGTGTGTGTGTCAGTGGTGTGTGTTACTGTGTGTGTGTTACTGTGTGTGTCACTGTGTGTGTCACTGTGTGTGTTACTGTGTGTGTGTGTTATTGTGATGTGTTTACTGTGTGTGTGTCACTGTGGGTGTGTGTCACTGTTGTGTGTGTTACTGTGTGTGTTAGTGTGTGTGTCACTGTGTGTGTGTGTGTCAGTGTGTGTGTCAGTGTGTGTGTAGTGTGTGTAGTGTGTGTGTGTGTTAGTGTGTGTGTGTTATTGTGTGTGTGTGTTATTGTGTGTTAGTGTGTGTGTGTTAGTGTGTGTGTCACTGTGTGTGTGTCACTGTGTGTGTCACTGTGTGTGTGTCACTGTGTGTGTGTGTCACTGTGTCTGGTGAGTGCCCCACTACAATTCTGCTAGGACTACCCCCCCCCACTACAGTCTGTAGACTACCCCCCCCACTACAGGTCTGTAGACTACCCACCACTACAGTCTGTAGACTACCCCCCCCACTACAGTCTGTAGGGATAACTACCCCCCCCACTACAGTCTGTAGACTACCCCCCCACTACAGTCTGTAGACTACCCCCCCACTACAGTCTGTAGACTAGCACCCCACTACAGTCTGTAGACTAGCCCCCTACTAGACTTAACAAGCCGCCATCAGCCGGCACTTTCCCGCGCAAATTTCACCAGCGGCGCGACTTCCTGCCTCAATCTCATCCCTTCTGTCCGGGAGGGGGGGCGGAGCCTGTGTTCGCCGTGCGATTCAACGCCGACAGACGTTGCGGATTTTCATTCGCGCGCAAAGCAATCAAAAGCTGCGCTAGTGTACCGCTGTTGGCTCAGACAGAAGTAGAGATTTTCACCGGAATGCCGAAGCGAACAAACGTCGCGGCTAGTGTACGCTTAGGACAGAAGCAGCGATTTTGCATTTTGGATAGGCAAAGCAGACAAAAGCCGCGGCCAGTGCAACACTTACAGCACTCAGGTGCCGAGACATAAATGACGTCACGCGATTTTGGACGATTTCCCCCCTCAAATATGACGTCACAAAAAGTCAGACCCCCTCAAATATGACGTCACAAAGCTCTGCCCCCCCCTCCTTTCCGCAAAAATAAAACGTGCTTCAAATTTGGGTAAAGTCACCACGTAGATAGGGAAACAATAAAATAATAAAAATATAAAACAATTAAATAATAAAAATATAAAGCAATAAAATAATAAAAATATAAAACAATAAAATAGTAAAAATAATAAACTATAAAATTCTCACGACGTTTCTTACTGCAACACAAAGCAGCAATCATCATCATCAAGGTGTGAAACCACAGCAAGAATTAAATAATAAAAATATAAACAATAAAATAATAAAAATATAAAACAATAAAATAATAAAACTATAAAACAATAAAATAATAAAATATAAAACAATAAAAATATAAAACACCTGATGATGATTGCTGCTTTGTGTCTGCAGTAGAAGCGTAGTGAGAATTTTATAGTTTTATTATTTTTATTATTTTATTGTTTTATATTTTTATAATTTTATTGTTTTATATCCACATCGTCAAAAATGTCTGACCCCACCCACCCACCCCAGGTGCGTGACGTCATTTATGGTCGATCCCTAAGCCCCCGTCTCTCGGCGTGAACTGCGTCGTGACGTCATGTTACTTCCGTTCGAGCTCGAACGCGAAGTTAAGTCGCTAAAAAATACTTTTAAACATTTACAAAAACAAAAATAAGCAGCATTTAAAAATAACTTTTTTGGTTTAGTTTTTATGTGTTTTTTTGTAATTAAAAACCACGCGCTTTTTTTTCATGATGAAATTATTCCGCGCTCGTTAGTGGGTCTCTATGAGTGTGGGTCTCTGTGGGTCTCTATGAGTGTGGGTCTCTATGGGTCTCTGTGGGTCTGTGTGGGTGTGGGTCCTCTGTGGGTCTCTGTGGGTATCTGTGGGTCTCTGTGGGTCTCTGTGGGTCTCTATGAGTGTGGGTCTCTGTGGGTCTCTATGGAGTGTGGGTCTCTGTGGGTCTCTATGAGTGTGGTCTGTGTGGGTCTCTGTGGGTCTCTATGAGTGTGGGTCTCTATGAGTGTGGGTCTCTGTGGGTCTCTATGAGTGTGGGTCCTTCTGTGGTCTCTGTGGGTCTCTCTAGTGTGGGTCTCGGGTCTCTATGAGTGTGGGTCTCCTGTGGGTCTCTATGAGTGTGGGTCTCTGTGGGTCTCTATGAGTGTGGGTCTCTGTGGGTCTCTATGAAGTGTGGGTCTTGTGGGTCTCTGTGGGTCTCTATGAGTGTGGGTCTCTGTGGGTCTCTGTGGGTCTCTATGAGTGTGGGTCTCTGTGGGTCTCTGTGGGTCTCTGTGAGTGTGGGTCTCTGTGGGTCTCTGTGGGTCTCTATGAGTGTGGGTCTATGTGGGTCTCTATGAGTGTGGGTTTCTGTGGGTCTCTGTGGGTCTCTGTGGGTCTCTTTGAGTGTGGGTCTCTGTGGGTCTCTGTGGGTCTCTGTGGGTCTCTATGAGTGTGGGTCTCTGTGGGTCTACGTGGGTCTCTGTGGGTCTCTATGGGTCTCTGTGGGTCTCTATGGGTCTCTGTGGGTCTCTATGAGTGTGGGTCTCTGTGGGTCTCTGTGGGTCTCTATGAGTGTGGGTCTCTGTGGGTCTCTGTGGGTCTCTATGAGTGTGGGTCTCTGTGGGTCTCTGTGGGTCTCTATGAGTGTGGGTCTATTGTGGGTCTCTAATGAGTGTGGGTCTCTATGGGTCTCTGTGTGTCTCTATGAGTGTGGGTCTCTGTGGGTCTACGTGGGTCTCTGTGGGTCTCTATGAGTGTGGGTCTCTGTGGGTCTCTATGAGTGTGGGTCTCTGTGGGTCTCTGTGGGTCTCTGTGGGTCTCTTTGATTCTCTGTGGGTCTCTATATCTCTCTGTGGGTCTCTATGGGTCTCTGTGGGTCCTCTGTGGGTCTCTATGAGTATGGGTCCTCTATGGGTCTCTGTGGGTCTCTATGGGTCTCTATGAGTATGGGTCTCTATGGGTCTCTGTGGGTCTCTATGGGTCTCTATGGGTTTCTGTGGGTCTCTATGGGTCTCTATGAGTGTGGGTCTCTATGAGTGTGGGTCTCTAGGGTCTCTGTGTGGTTCTATGGGTCTCTGTGGGTCTCTATGAGTGTGGGTCTCTGTGGGTCTCTGTGGGTCTCTATGAGTGTGGGTCTATGTGGGTCTCTATGAGTGTGGGTCTCTATGGGTCTCTGTGGTTATCTATGAGTGTGGGTCTCTGTGGGTCTACGTGGGTCTCTGTGGGTCTCTATGGGTCTCTGTGGGTCTCTGTGGGTATCTATGAGTTTGGATCTCTGTGTGTCTCTATGGGTCTCTATGAGTCTGGGTCTCTGTGGGTCTCGATGAGTGTGGGTCTCTATGATTGCGGGTCTCCATGGGTCTCTATGTTTGTGGGTCTCTCTGGTGTGGGTCTCTATGGGTCTCTATGAGTGTCGGTCTCTATAGGTCTCTGTGTGTGTGGGTCTCTATGGGTCTCTATGGGTTTCTGTGGGTTTCTGTGGGTCTCTATGGGTCTCTATGAGGGTGGGTCTCTATTGAGTGTGGGTCTCTATGGGTCTCTATGGGTCTCTGTGGGTCTCTATGAGTGTGGGTCTCTATGGGTCTCTATGG